TTTCTTTCTTTCTTTCTTTTTTTTTTTTTTTTTTTTTTGAGACGGAGTCTTGCTCAGTCGTTGCCCGGGCTGGAGTGCGGTGCCGGGATCTCGGCTCACTGCAAGCTCCGCCTCCCGGGTTCCCGCCATTCTCCTGCCTCAGCCTCCTGAGTAGCTGGACTACAGGCGCTCACCACTACGCCCCGCTAAGTTTTGTTTTTTTTGAGACAGAGTCTCGCTCTGCCGCCCAGGCTGGAGTGCAGTGGCGGGATCTCAGCTCACTGCAAGCTCCGCCTCCCGGGTTTACGGCATTCTCCTGCCTCGGCCTCCCGAGTAGCTGGGACTGCAGGCGCCCACCACCTCGCCCGGCTAGTTTTTTGTATTTTTTAGTAGAGACGGGGTTTCTCCGTGTTAGCCAGGATGGTCTCGATCTCCTGACCTCGTGATCCGCCCGTCTCGGCCTCCCAAAGTGCTGGGATTACAGGCTTGAGCCACCGCACCCGGCCGCCCCGCTGATTTTTTTGTATTTTTAGTAGAGACGGGGTTTCACCGTATTAGCCAGGATAGTCTCGATCTCCTGACCTCATGATCCGCCCGTCTCAGCCTCCCAAAGTGCTGGGATTACAGGCGTGAGCCACCGCGCCCCGCCACCATTTCTTTCTTTTCTGCTTCTCCTCCCATACCTTAACCAGGAGCAATTAACCAATATTTTCTCTGCGAGAGATCAGAAGATAAGGGTAAAGAAGAAAGGATTGTTTTAGAATAGAACCAAGTTTCTCACTTCATGCCTCCAGCCTTAGAAAACTCATTACTGGGCCAGGCTCAATGGCTCACGCCTGTAATCCCAGCACTTTGGGAGGCCGAGGTGGGCGGATCACGAGGTCAGCAGATCAAGACCATCCTGGCTAACAGGGTGAAACCCCGTCTCTACTAAAAATACAAAAAATTATTCGGGCGAGGTGGCGGGCGCCTGTAGTCCCAGCTGCTTGGGAGGTTGAGGCAGGAGAATGGCATGAACCCGGGAGGCGGAGCTTGCAGTGAGCCGAGATTGCACCACTGCACCCCAGCCTGGGCGACAGAGCAAGGCTCCCTCTCAGAAAAAAATAATAATAATAATAAAAGAAAACTCATTATTGGCCAGGCGCAGTGGCTCACACCTGTAATCCCAGCACCTTGGGAAGCTGAGGCAGGATAATTGCTAGAGGCCAGGAGTTTGAGACCAGCCTGAGCACCATAGCCAGACCCTGTATGTAGCCAGGCAAAATGGCATGTGCCTGTGAAGGGAGGATTCACTTGAGTCCAGGTGGTTGAGGCTGCAGTAAGTGGTGACTGCGCCATTGTCCTCCAGCTTGGGTGATAGAGTGAGACTCTGTCTCAAAAAAAAAGAAATAAAAGAAAAAAAAGACCTCATTATTTATATAGATCTAAACCACTGTTAGGTAGAATTTGGGGGAAGGTTCTCTAACCTATTTTTAGTATGGCCAAACCACCCTTTCCTCTTTTCAGATCTTACTGTTTTGTTTGCAGAGAAGGGCTTCAAGGCCAAAAGGCATACTGTGTTAGGGTCTGTGTCAGGCAGACCCTTTTGGGTTCCAAGAACAGAGGAAGATGAGGCTGTGGGAGGGAAGACCATAGGATGATAGAGAATTGGGACCAGGCACAGTGGCTCATGCCCATAATCCTAGCACTTTGGAAGATCGAAGCAGGTGGATCACTTGAGGCCAAGAGTTCAGGACCAGCCTGGCCAACGTGGCAAAACCCTGTCTCTACTAAAAATACAAAAATTAGCCAGGCATAGTGGTGTACAACTGTAATCCCAGCTACTCGGGAGGCTGAGGCACAAGAATCACTTGTACCCAGGAGGCGGAGTTTGCAGTGAGCCAAGAATACACCACTGCACTCCAGCCTGGGCGACAGAGCAAGACTCTCTCAAAAAAAAAAAAAAAAAAGCCAGGTGCTGTGGTTCATGCCTGTAATCCCAGCACTTTAGGAGGCCAGGCTGGGAGGCTGAGGTGGGAGAATCATTTGAACCTGGGAAGTGGAGGCTGCAGTGACCTGAGATTGCACCATTTGCACTCCAGCTTCCGTGGCAGAGTGAAACTCTGTCTCAGAAAAAAAAAAAAGAGAGAGAGAGAGAGAACTGAGTTGCGAGGGCCTAGCAAAAGTGCAGCTCCCTGGGCTATAGACTTTGACCTTGTCCAAGTCATTATCCCTCTGCTTCCTTATCTCTCTTTTAATGAAATGAAAACAATAATTATCACTTCACTGTCTCACAGGGTTAGGAGGATTAAATATGAAAGTGTTTTGTGAAGTGTGAAACAGATAAACTACATAGATGAAATATATCATGACATTTATTCAATTACACAGCACATACTTCCCCCTATGTTTCTCCTACTGCTAGTGTAGCAGGATGAGCCGCAGACAAAACTCCTCCAACACCAGATTAAAGAAGGAAGAGGTTTTTTATTCGGCCGGGAGCGTCGGCAGACTCGCGTCTTAAGAGCCGAGCTTCCTGAGAGAGAAATACTTGGCCTTTTTAAAGGCTTACAACTTTAAGGGGTCCACGTGAAAGGGTCGTGATAAATCGAGCAAGCGTGGAAAACGTGATGGGGGGGCTACATGCATCAGCTAACAGAACAAAAAGTTTTACAATGCTTTTTTCATACAATGTCTGGAATTTACAGATAACACAAGTAGTTTAGGTCAGGGGTTGATGTTATTATTATTACTTTGTTTAACTCCTAGGGCTGGGTGGTGGTGCCAAGGTTGTCTGGCTATTTATCTTACTTTTGTTTCTTTCTCTCTTTACTCCTGTCTTGTGAACTAGGCAAGGTGGGGGGAGGAGGGCAGCAGGAGTAGTAGTGGTCTCCTTCCTTACTAGGCTTGGAGAAACATAAAGGATAAGAGTTTTTATCTTTTCATGAACTCAAAAAGCTAGAGGGTACTTTTAGGATAATGGGTAGGATGCAGCCTTCAGACAATGAACCTAAACACAAGAATAGAATTGGTCGAAAGCAGGCTGTGGTTAGGCCACTGAAAGGTGGTCTAGATTGAGTTACAGGGGGACAATAACAATCTCAAGATGCCTTTGCCAGGCGCAGTGGCTCACGCCTGTAATCCCAGCACTTTGGGAGGCCAAGGTGGGAGGATCACACGGTCAGGAGTTCAAGACCAGCCTGGCCAATATGGTGAAACCCTGTCTCTACTAAAATACAAAACTTAGCCAGGCATGGGGCAGGCGCCTGTACTCCCAGCTACTCAGGAGGCTGAGGCAAGTGAATTGCTTGAACCCGGGAGGTGGAGTTTGCAGTGAGCAGAGATTGTGCCACGGCACTCCAGCCTAAAAATAATCTCGATAGAGTGAGACTTGGTCTCAAAAAAAAAAGATCTTTGACCTGGTAGGTGTGCCCCCAACTTTCTTTCCAGTGTGTGTGTTACCAAGGTGAGGGCTGAAGCTGCTCAAATGCTCCATGAGTGGGAGGAAGCTGTGGGATGATGGGGAGGGTTCCCACAAAGATGGAGCCTCGTCAGCCTTTCTCCAGCACCGGAAACCACAGGAAATCAGGTCAGTGTGTGGGGCCCGCTCCCTCCACTCCAGGGCTCAGCTATGAGCTCTGGGGCTTCCTGAGCAGGCTGTACTGACTAGTGGGTCCTTGAAGCTAGAGGCCCCTTTGGTATGGAGCCCTTTGCCTAGAAAAGCTGGACCTGGCTCATGGGTAGAGAGAACTTGGCTATAGTCCTGAGAGTTAACCAGGTGGGAAGCCAGGGTACATATGGGTTTCACGTGCATCCTAGAGTGCTTTTTTTCCTCCCCACTCTAAATGGTGCCTCAGTCACCTCTGTATCTCCAGCACCCAGTGCTGAGTAGTGCTCAAGAGCTCGGCTAATTCTCTAAGTGAGGGAGTGAAGCACATGTCTCTGGGAGACACAAGTTCAACAGTGTGCTGATGGGTGGGTCAGATCTGCAGTGTGTTTCAGGAGTAGGAGGGGCTAAGAAATGGGTGCGTCCCCCAACCTGATGCTAGTCCCTTTCCTGTTACTTCTCAGTCACCGCAGGAGCCCCTTGTCTTTCAGGTGGGGGGCAGTAGGGTTTTGGGGGGCACAAGCTTTCCTCAGTCCCTCCACTTGGAGGGGAAGGAATGTGGCCTGGCTGGCTGGTTGGGATCAAGGAGGAGCTTTCAGGCAGGGCGGGGCCAGGGCAGGCTGGGGCGAGGGCTCCTGCTGGTACTGTGTTCTTCGCTGCTGCACAGCAAGGCCCTGCCACCCACCTTCAGGCCATGCAGCCATGTTCTGGGAGCCCTAACTGCACAGAAGCCCATGGGGAGCTTCAGACCGGCAGCCCTGCTCCTGCCTCTCCTCCTGGTAGTCATCGACCTCTCTGACTCTGCTGCGATTGGCTGTCCCCACCTGCCCCACTGGAACACCCGCTGTCCTCTGGCCTCCCACATGGTAAGGTGCTGCTGCCAGGTAGGGACACCTGCCTAGCACAGCTATAAAGCTCCCCACTCCCCTGCCCGCCCTGTGCTACCTTTGCAGTCCCTGTGCTCTGGTGGCAGCTTTGATGTGTCCTCTACCTAATCTCAAAGGGGTAGCCAAGGTCCTTTGTGCTGATGGCCTGGACAGGGTGGAGCTGGGAAGGTAAGGGCCAGAGGGTATGGGTATTAGCTATGGGACTCAGAATTCGCTGATTTGAAGCAAAGACCCCAAGAATGCTCCTTATGGGAGTCCATCCTAATAATAGCTCTCTCCTTTCTTTTCCCTACTGGGCCCTGTGCCTCAGGATGATAGTTTCACTGGTGAGTCGTGTTTCCTGCCCCATTGCTCCTCCCCACGCCCACTATTTCTCCAGATGCCCAGCAAGCCCTCCATTCTAATTTTCGGTTCCCAACCTGGGAAGTAGCACAATATCAAGGAAAAAGTTTGGAATCATGACAAGCCTGGATTCACGTTGCAGTTCTGCCAGACTCCTGTGTGGCCTCAGACTGTGCACCTAACCCCTCCAACTGACCCTCAGTTTCTGAGGGGTAGTAGCACAGTAGAAATTATTGTACACTAAAGGCAGTGTTGCTTTTGATCTGTAAGGAGGATTAGATGAGAAACATGGATAAATCTCCAGGTGCTCCGTATGTGTTGGTTCCTCCCCTTAACTGATCCCTCACTTCTATCAGTAATACAACAATAATCCTTCCTATTTTATGGTATGTTCTACTTCACAAGACATTTTCCCATGCACTACTATTTTGATTTTTATAATAGACCCGCTTTATGAATGAGGAAACTGATCCTTAGACAGGTCCTATAACCCCCCAAGTCATACTTCCAGGATGTAAGTGACAGAGCTTGGCCTCAAATCCAGCTTGTCTGAGGTAGGAGGGACCTTCTTAGACCCTATCATTTGCTTTCCCTTCCATCTTTCCCAGGAAGTTCTGCCCATATCCTTTGCCGCACCTGGTGGGCCCTCTTCTCCACAAAGCCTTGGTGTGTGCGAGTCTGGCACTGTTCCCGCTGTTTGTGCCAACATCTGCTGTCAGGTCGCTCAGGTATGAGAAACAGGCCCTTGGGCCATTCTCAGTGAAGAGAACATTCTGAGCGACCGCCTAGGCTGAGCAAGTGGGACTTACTAGAACAGATATTTGTCTTGTTGTAACCTCAATGGGGACTTGGATTATCCTAAAATAGCACGCTATGACTGATATTCATGAATCCAATTGTACAATTTTATGAAGGTATTTTTTTCAGCTGAGATTCTTGGAATTAAAAGCTATGGATTTATTGTTATTACCATTTATTTGTAAAGCACGATCTTCTTTCTTACTCTATATTTTAATTGCTCAGCTCAGTGCCTGGTACATACTAAATGCCCTTACATTGCTTAAGAATTGGCAGTTTCTAGGCCAGGCGCGGTGGCTCACGCCTGTAATCCCAACACTTTGGTAGGCTGAGGCAGGCTGATCACCTGAGGTCAGGAGTTTGAGACCAGCCTGGTCAACATGGTGAAACCCCGTCTCTACTAAAGATACAAAAAATTAGCAAGGTGTGGTGGCGGGCACCTGTAATCCTAGCTGCTCAGGAGGCTGAGGCAGGAGAATCACTTGAACCCAGGAGGCAGAGGTTGCAGTGAGCCGAGATCGTGTCATTGCACTCCAGCCTGGGCAACAAGAGCAAAACTCCGTCTCCAAAAAAAAAAGGCAGTTTCTGGACCAGGTGTGATGGTTTACACCTGTAATCCCAGCATTTTGGGAGGCTGAGGTGGGTGGATCGCTTGATTCCAGGAGTTTGAGAGCAGCCTGGCCAACATGGCAAAACCCCATCTCTACAAAAAAAAAAAAATACAAAAATTAGCTGGATGTGGTGGTGCATACCTGAAGTCCCAGCTACTTGGGAGGCTGAGGTGGGAGGATCACCTGAATTCAGGAGGTGGAGGTTGCAGTCACTTAAGATAGCGCTACTGCACTCCAGCCTGGATGACAGTGTGAGACCCTGTCTTAAAAAAAAAAAAGAACTGGCAGTGTCTAATTTTTCTAAATGTTTGCTGTTAGAAATAATGCCACAGGGCTGGATGCAATGGCTCATGCCTGTAATCCCAGTACTTTGGGAGGCCAAGGCAGGCAGATCACCTGAGGTCAGGAGTTTGAGACCAGCCTGGTCAACATGGTGAAACCCCATCTCTACTAAAAATGCAAAAATTAGCCAGGCGCGATGGCGGATGCCTGTAATCCCAGCTACTCAGGAGGCTGAGGTGAGAGGATTGCTTAAGCCCAAGAGTTCAAGACTGCAGTGAGCAGTGATTGTGCCACTGCACTCCAGCCTGCGTGACAGAGCAAAACCCTGTCAAGGAAAGAAGGAAGGAAGGAGGGAAGGAGGGAAAGAAGGAAGCGGAGAAAGAAAGAAGGAAAGAGAGAGAGGCAGAGGCTGGTGTGGTGGCTCATGCCTGTAATCCCAGCACTTTGGGAGGCCAAGGCGGGCAGATCACAAGATCAGGAGATCCACACCATCCTGGCTAACATGGTGAAATCCCATCTCTACTAATTATACAAAAAATTAGCTGGGCATGGTGGCGGGCGCCTGTAGTCCCAGCTACTCAGGGGGCGAGGCAGGAGAATCGCTTGAAGCAGGGAGGCAGAGACTGTAGTGAGCCAAGATCACGCCGCTGCACTCCAGCCTGTGCAACAGAGCGAGACAAATAAAAGAATGCTAAAATGAATATCTGAATATCTTTGTATATATAGCTTTTTCTCTGCTTAAGAAATGAATCCTTTCTTGATTGCATTGTAATTTTCAAGACTAAAGAAGTTTGATATCTTTACCCTCCTTGATTTAAAATGACTTACTATCAGGCTGGGCGCGGTGGCTCACGCCTGTAATCCCAGCGCTTTGGGAGGCCAAGGTGGGCGGATCACCTGAGGTCTGGAGTTCGAGACCAGCCTGACCAACATGGAGAAACCCCGTCTCCACTAAAAATACAAAATTAGCCGGGCATGGTGGCACATGCTTGTAATCGCAGCCACTCGGGAGGCTGAGGCAGGAGAATCACTTGAACTCAGGAGGCAGAGGCTGCAGTGAGGCGAGATCGTGCCATTGCACTTCAGCCTGGGCAACAAAGAGCGAAACTCTGTCATAAAATAAAATAAAATAAAATAAAATAAAATAAAATAAAATCTTACTATCTGACACTGGGCCATATCTCCAGGTAGGGGAGGGGGTAATGAAGGCTAGATAGTAAGTATGTCCCCCCCTGCACAGGTCTTCAGTGGGGCTTCTTCCACCTCCTGGTACAGAAATCCAAAAAGTCTTCCACACTCAATTTCTGTAGGAGATACAAGATGCCAGCACCTGCTCAGGTACTCTTCCTTTCAGTTCCAGCCCTACCCGATGCCCCACAGACCTTTGCTTTTTGGCCTCTCATTTGGTTCTCCAGCCATGTGAGACAGAAAGTGTGGAGATGAAGTATTCTGTCTATTACACAGCTAGGGAGGCCAAAAGAGTTTGAGCAACTGCCACAGTACCTCAGATTCCAGAGGCAGAAACAGAAGCCAGGTTTCCTGATTCCTGGCCCGAGGCCAACCTTGTTCTCTGCCTTTAGAGGAAGCCGCTGCCTAGTCGTCGCCTGTCTGAGAAGAGCCATCACATTTCCATCCCCTCCCCAGACATCTCCCACAAGGGACTTCGCTCTAAAAGGACCCAACCTTCGGATCCAGAGGCATGGGAAAGTCTTCCCAGATTGGACTCACAAAGGCACGGAGGTGGGCACTGGGTACAACAGGAGATGGGTTCAGTTGAGTGGTGAGGTGCTAAGGCCAAGAGACAAGGCCACTGAGTCCTTCCTCTCCCCAGGGCCCGAGTTCTCCTTTGATTTGCTGCCCGAGGCCCGGGCTATTCGGGTGAACATACCTTCAGGCCCTGAGGTCAGTGTGCGTCTTTGTCACCAGTGGGCACTGGAGTGTGAGGAGCTGAGCAGTCCCTATGATGTCCAGGTATGGCGTGTCATCCCCTGTAAAAAGCCCGATCACACAGTGCTAGCAACAGAGGCCACCCATTGTACACATGGGGAAACTGAGGCCCAGAAAGGGACGGTAACTGTCCAGGACCTCCTTACAAGCTGAAGGGTCTATCATTAAGACTTCTTTGGGCATGGCATGGTGGCTCACACCTGTGGTCCCAGCACTTTGGGAGGCCAAGGCAGGAGGATTGCTTGAAGCCAGGAGTATAAAACCAGCTTGGGCAACATAGTGAAACCCTGCTGCTAAAAAACAAACAAACAAACAATCAAACAAACAAAAAGCATTAAAAGAAAGACTTCTTTGGACTAGACAGAAAGGGCAGAGGCCTTGTCACCTGGAAGAACAGGAAAGGCAGGCAGAGAACTGGAGCAGACATGAATGACCATGAATGAGCAGAGAAATTAGTATGGTATTTACCCCCAATGAGAGGATCCTCAGTGTGATTCAGGCATTAAGAAGCCTTTTCTTGAGCTTTAAGTTAGTGACAAGTAAGATAAAATAATTGTTAATTAAAAATTTTAAAAGCCTTTTCAGCTCCCCTAAGAGGTTGTACTGTTTGAGAACATAACAAAATGGTCACATCTGTCTTGGTACCCTTCTATCTCCCTCCCTTTGTTCCTGCCACTCAGAGAATGATATGTCCCCCATTCTCCCAACCTGGGCCCCAACATCCTACCTCAACCTCCCTTTGTCATGGATGCCATTGTATACAGTTGGTACCATTTGCAGGGACTGCTGCTGTACCCCTGAGACCCTCAGCTCATCATTTTTATAACGGTGAGGATACCTCATAAGTTCACTGTGGTGCTAGCATGGAGTGAATTGATTTAATGCTTCTAGCAGTCACCACACACCCTGGCATACAGTAGGGCCACAATAAAGGAATGTATTCCCTGTCTCCTTCCCCGCAACTCCACCTAGAGTACCTAGAGCTAATGCTTAGATTACTAAGCAGACAACCTTTGAGAGATTTATCAGAAGAGGTATCTCATATAAGAGGAAAAACAGGGTGTGTTGGCCAAGATCCCAGCGGTGTTCTGCCCTTGTCTGTGTGCCTATGTTCTTTCTCAGGCATCTTTTGTCTTCCTTTGCTGTTTCATCCACAGAAAATTGTGTCTGGGGGCCACACTGTAGAGCTGCCTTATGAATTCCTTCTGCCCTGTCTGTGCATAGAGGTGAGCAAAGGAAAAGGTGTGGGCTGTCCATGGCTCTGCTCCTAAGTCACCAAGGTGGCACAGTTGGTCAAGTATATCTCCAGTAAACTGGGTTTAAAAAGGACTGGGTGTTACTGGCATGCTTAGGAAGAGTGGCAGCAGCTTGGCTGTGAGCCACACATGGGGTCAGAGGTGGAAGGGTGCTGCTGAACATTGGACCTTCTTAGGGTGATTCCAACCTCAGCCCCATCCAAACCCAGCTTTCCCTGGCCCAGACATGGCCTCAGCCCACAGAGCCAGAATAGGCAGCTGTCATCGCTATGTGTTCTGAGGAGTCGAGGAAGGAGTGTGTACATGACCACTGCAGGGTTCCATATGCCCCCAAAAGTCTTGCCCCCTCTAGGCCTCTGTGGCAGTCCTCCTTTTCTCTTTACAAGTCTAAGGAACATATCAGAAAGTTTTCTATGGACTAGACAGAAAAGGCAAGGGAAATTGTCACCTGGGAGACCTAAGGGAGGATGATGGCAGAGACCTAGAGCCACGAGCAATTGCCAGGGTGGACAGCAGGTGGGCATGTTGGCATTCCAGAGTCAGGAGCTAACACAGAGCACTGGGTGCCTTGGGGATGGCTGAGAGTGGAGGCCAGAGCAGACAAAAACTGAGGAATGCGACCTCAGGATTTACTTCTTTCTGGGGATAGTTCTCTTTAGGAGGAAAGGAATTAGCCCCTCACTTGCTTATCCCTCTCCTATGTTCTGGAGTTCCTCCCTACCCTTGCCCCCACCCCACATTGCCCCCTCCCACTCGGTGCCTGGCCAGCTCAGGTGACTTGTGTCACAGTAAGGTAAAGCCAGAATGAGTTTTAGGTCTGAGTGAGATTGGAAAAGCCATTCCTCTGACCCTCCCCACCTGCTCCCCTGTCCCCCTAGGCATCCTACCTGCAAGAGGACACTGTGAGGCGCAAAAAATGTCCCTTCCAGAGCTGGCCGGAAGCCTGTGAGTGCTGCCGACATGCACCCTTGTGCACACACATTCCCTTTCTCTTTCTGTCTCCTACACACACATGCACGCACACACACACACCACACTTCACACGTTTGCTGGGGGAAGCCCCCAGAAGGCATACAGGTACTTCCCTGGAGTCAGTGGGGAAAAGGGCTGCCAAGTCTACCAGTCAGCTTGCCAATAGATCAGAGAGCACAGCACTGAAGCACTGTGAGAAGTTCAGAAATATGAGGCCTAGGAGATGGTGTCCTAAGACGATGGGCCAGAAGACCTAGCTCCCATCCCAGCTCTGTCAGTTGTTCTTCTCTGAGCCTCACTCTCCTCATCTGTAAAATCTCAATACCTGCTCTGCCTTCAAAGCGTTTGTGAAGCCTGAGTTAAATATTACATGTGAAAGTGGCTGGTGATGTCCGAAGTGCTGTATGCATGTTGTTGTTCTCAAGGAGAGGCAGGACACTCGGACACAAGTGAATCGCATAAAGCAGCCTACAGAACTTACAGGGCAGGGTTATAGTTAAGGACTAGGCTGTAGGGCAAGAACTCCGGAAAGGGAGAAGCCCGAGAAGGGCCATTGTAAGCAGAGAAGGCCTTTTAGAGGAAGTGGCATCTGAGCTGGGGTCAGAAAAAGGGCAGGATTTAGACAGGAGAGATAGAAGGGGAAGACATTCCTGGTTCTGAGAGGACCCTAAGCAGATTTTGAGTTGGGGGAGAAGCAAGGAGCTGGCCAGAATGGAGGCCTGGGAAGGAGAGAAGAGAGACCCTGGATAGAAAGATAATGAAGCCAGGCGCAGCGGCTCATGCCTATAATCCCAGCACTTTGGGAGGCCGAAGCGGGCAGATCACCTGAGGTCAGGAGTTTGAGATGAACCTGGCCAACATGGTGAAACCCTGTCTCTACTAAAAATACAAAAAATTGGCCAGGCATGGTAGTGCGCGCCTGTAGTCCCAGCTACTCGGGGGGTCAAGACAGGAGAATTACTTGAGCTCGGGAGGCGGAGGTTGCAGTGAGCCGAGATCACACCACTGCACTCCAGCCTGGATGACAGAATGAGACTCCATCTCAAAAAACAAAAACAAAAAACAGAAAGGTAATGAAAGGGGGCCGGGCGTGGTGGCTCACACCTGTAATCTCAGCACTTTGGGAGGCCGAGGTGGGTGAGTCACAAGGTCAGGAGTTCATGAGGTCAGGAGACCAGCCTGGCCAACATGGTGAAAACCCATCTCTACTAAAAATACAAAAATCATCTGGGCTTGGTGGCTCACACCTGTAATCCCAGCTACTGAGGCATGAGAATCACTTGAACCCAGGAGGCAGAGGTTGCAGTGAGCCAAGATCACACCACTGCACTCCAGCCTGGGAGACAGAGTGAGACACTGTCTCAAAAAAGAAAAGAAAAAGAAAGATAATGAAAGGGATGCTCATTGATTGAGTACCTGTTCAGGCCAGGAACAGTACTGGTTACTTTTACAAACATCATCTCCTGCTGCCCCCAGGATGTGGGTGGCAAGGTGGGGCTGAAGCAGGGCTGACCCTCACCCACTGACCCTACCACCTGCCCAGATGGCTCGGACTTCTGGAAGTCAGTGCACTTCACTGACTACAGCCAGCACACTCAGATGGTCATGGCCCTGACACTCCGCTGCCCACTGAAGCTGGAAGCTGCCCTCTGCCAGAGGCAAGACTGGCATACCCTTTGCAAAGACCTCCCAAATGCCACGGCTCGAGAGTCAGATGGGGTGAGGACAGGTTCCCCCAGGACCTGGGTGGGCAGGGCTGGGGCCCAGGAATTTTCTCCCTGATGAACTCTTCTCTCCTCCCACAGTGGTATGTTTTGGAGAAGGTGGATCTGCATCCCCAGCTCTGTTTCAAGGTACAACCATGGGTGAGAAGAGATGTGGGGTAGTGGGTATTGCCTGGAGCTTGCTAACCTGCATTCCTGTATTTCTCAGTTCTCTTTTGGAAACAGCAGCCATGTTGAATGCCCCCACCAGACTGGTGAGCCAATAAGTGACCTCTGCTGGGAACCCCTGCCCCATTTCATCCTCACCCAACTGTGACCAAGCTGAACCCCAGCCCAGCCCTGTATTCATCACCCGAAGCCCAACTCCTATCAACACCCCCACCCTGCCCCAAACAGGGTCTCTCACATCCTGGAATGTGAGCATGGATACCCAGGCCCAGCAGCTGATTCTTCACTTCTCCTCAAGAATGCATGCCACCTTCAGTGCTGCCTGGAGCCGCCCAGGCTTGGGGCAGGACACTTTGGTGCCCCCTGTGTATACTGTCAGCCAGGTATGGCCTCGCCCCCACTAGGTCCTATTGCTCAGAGCACAGCCCTCAATTTCCTTGTCACCTCATTGAGATAGACCCTGGGAAGGCAGAAACAAACAAATCCCTGACTTCTACCATCTGGTTTACTTTATTTACGTGATCAGCCTTTGTTCAGCTGACTTGCTGACAGTAGATTCCTCAAGGGAGCATTTTCCTTTTTTTTTTTTCTTTTGAGACGGAGTCTCGCTCTGTCGCCCAGGCTGGAGTGCAGTGGCACGATCTCGGCTCACTGCAAGTTAAGGGAGCATTTTCTAATCCTTTCAGTTTCTGAATTTACAGGAATAACAGAGGCAAGGGACTGGCCCTCCCACATTCAGGTGTTCTCTAGCCCAGGGGTCCCAATCTCTGAGCCGCAGACCAGTACCCACCTGTGGCTTGTGAGAAACCAGGCCACACAGCAGGAGGTGAGTGGAGGGTGAGCAAGCATTACTGCCTGAGCTCCGCCTCCTGTCAGACCAGTGGCTGCATTAGATTCTTATAGGAGTGCAAACCCTATTGTGAACTGTGCATGTGAGGGATCTAGGTTGTGAGCTACTTATGAGAATCTAATGCCTGATGATCTGAGGTGGTTTCATCCTGAAACCATTCCTCCAACCCCAACCCCTTCAACCTCTGTGTAAAACTTTTCTTCCATGAAACTAGTCCCTGGTGCCAAAAAGGTCGGGGACCACTGCTCTAGCCTAACAAAACAGCATTTTATATTGATGCCTTCCCTTGAACCCAGCTGTCCACTACCACTACTCTCCTGCCTCCACGAGGCACCTGTGCAGAAGTTATCTATCCCAGGAGGCAGAGCCCATGCAGCTGACAGGCTCTGCACAATCCTGTAAACTACTGACAAATTTCACCTGTTACATGACTAGGAGCACTTTATCAGACTATCTTCCATGTATCTGATATAAAAACCACAGTCAAATACACCCTTAATACCACAGCACCAAGCTGACTAAGCATGACTAGCACTTTCAAACAGTTATTTCTTAAATGCTCATTTGCAGCTTATACATTTGTTTTGCATTGTATGAGGGCTCCCAAGCAGACAGGTGATAGTAACACGGTATGTAAGACCAAGTCACGCTTAAGTGGCCAGGTGCAGTGTCTCACACTTGTAGTCCCCACTGAGGCAGGAGAACTGTGTGAGCTCAGGAGTCCAAGGCTGCAGTGAGCTATGATCATGCCACTGCACTCCAGCCTGGGTGACAGCATGAGACTCGGACTCTAAAAAAAAAATGTTTTTAATTAAAATTCTGTCCAATTTAGTATGCATTGTTCCCACCCTGTAGCAGGCTCTGGGAGATACAAGAAAAGTATATAACACAGTTAAGGAGTTCACAGACTAATAATAGCTGTTACCAATAAATGAATATACATTGCAGTTTATTTAAAAAGATATTCATGTGCATATACCCATTTGATGCTCTCAATAACCCAGTAAAATAAAGATTATTATCCCTCACATAAAAACCAAGAAAGTAGGCCAGGCGCAGTGGCTCACGCCTATAATTCCAGCATTTTGGGAGGCTGAGGCAGGCAGATCACCTGAGGTCAGGCGTTTAAGACCAGCCTCACCAACACTGCAAAACCCATCTCTACTAAAAATACAAAAATTAGCTGGGCATGGTGGCGTGCACCTGTAATCCCAGCTACTCAGGAGGCTGAGGCAGGAGAATAGCTTGAACCCAGGAAGTAGAGGTTGCAGTGAGCCGAGATTGTGCCAGTGCATTCCAGCCTGCACGACAGAGCGAGACTCTGTCTCAAAAAATAAATAAATAAACATAAAAAAATAAAAATAAAAATGAGGAAAGTGAGGCTTAGGAAAGAGAGGTAACCTGCCTCCATGCAAAGACCACACAGTTAGGGACTACAAAGGCAATAGGTAAGCCTGAACCCAGGTCTCCTGACCCTACGACTTACATTCTTTTCAATGACATGTTGTGATACCTCTTCAGCTGTGCAGGAGAGTAAAGTGAGGCAGCCTTCCTGGTTTGTGAGCTGCTAGAGGACAGAGACAATGTCCGCACCCACCTTCTTTCCTCAGGGCTTGGCACAGAGGACATACTCAGAGTCTGTCTGTTTGACAAATACCTGACTGCAGCAGGAGCTGAGCTCTGGGAAAGATCAGTGGGAGCTGGAGTGGCTGAGGAAGCCTTCTTGTCAGAGGTGGCACTTGGCCTAAACCTCGTAGGACTGGGGGTATGGTGGGGAGGAATAGCAGGGGCAAAGACTCAAGGCCAGACAGGGCCAGATTCACCTCCCTCAGGAGAGCCTTTCTGATCTTTGTTTCTACAGGCCCGGGGCTCAAGCCCAGTGACACTAGACCTCATCATTCCCTTCCTGAGGCCAGGGCGCTGTGTCCTGGTAAGGAAACCTACTCTCACTCTACATACAGAGCCCTGGCATCTACTCCCCTGGTAGCACTCACCCGTGGAAAATCCATTCTGCAAAAATGTTTGGTTTGGCCAGCACAGTGTTTTGAATCGAAATTACTTACCGCTATTTACATATATAAACAAAGCTGGATTTCTGACTCCTGTTGAAAAATCAGAAAAACCTAGTGCCAGTGTCCGCACTCTGGCATGGTGACAATGGCCTGGAGCTCAGCGCTGTCTGATTGTTTCAGTCAGGGCCTGTGCTCTCCAGGTGCTCACAGCAGCCCTGGTCAACTTTGAGTTTACTTTTCGAGTTTGGCCCCTGTCACACTTGAGTTTGCCACCATTGACCTGTGCTGTGCCAGGCCAGGAGCTGGAGCAGACACAAACCCACCTGGGAAGAATTCCCTAGCCAGTGGGAACTCCCCTCTCCCCCAGCTCCATACTTCACTCAGCTCCCTGGGGAGGAGAATATGCCTGGTTCATAGGGCTGGGGGACTCTGTGCCCTCAGGTGTGGCGGTCAGATGTCCAGTTTGCCTGGAAGCACCTCTTGTGTCCAGATGGTGAGTTCTTGGGGAGGGGGAGGTAAGAGGGAGGCTGGGCACTGAGGAACTGGGCTTGGCCTCACCCTGCTTGACTCAGTCTCTTTCAGACGCCTGGGGCTCTTGATCCTGGCACTGCTGGCCCTCCTCACCCTACTGGGTGTTGTTCTGGCCCTCACCTGCCGGTGCCCACAGTCAGGTAAGCTCACCTGGGGGTAACCTGAGTAGTCAGACCTGCCCAGCTCCAAGGCTAGCTGCCCCCTCACCCTCCCCTGTCTGAGCTCTTTGCACTGCACCCAGTCTCTTGTTACCCAGGCAGGGATCCTCAGGCCCCCAAGTGGGCAGGAATGGTTAAGGCAGGGCAAAGGGCCCTCTGAGCAGATTGTCACTGTACTAAGTCTCTGAACAAAAGGCTAGTGGGGCAGAAATCCAGCCTGCGCTGTACTCGCCCAGCCTGGAGCCCTAGCCCTCTTTTCAGAAGGGGTGCCTTTATCGAATTAGCTCATAGGCTAGGGCTGCTTTTGGTACCAACCCCCAGAGCAAACAAGGGGCGGGGGCGGAGAGGCGAGAACCTTCGGTATCCGGAGAGGCTGGGGAGGAGAGGGCTGAGTAGTCTCTCAGCCCCCACCCCTTCATCTGTTGCTCCCCGCCACTAGGCCCGGGCCCAGCGCGGCCAGTGCTCCTCCTGCACGCCGCGGACTCCGAGGCGCAGCGGCGCCTGGTAGGAGCGCTGGCTGAACTGCTGAGGGCAGCGCTGGGCGACGGGCGCGACGTGATCGTGGACCTGTGGGAGGGGAGGCACGTGGCGCGCGTGGGCCCACTGCCGTGGCTCTGGGCCGCGCGGGCGCGCGTAGCGCGGGAGCAGGGCACGGTGCTGCTGCTGTGGAGCAGCGCCTGCCTTCGCCCGGCCCGCGGCCCCGACCCCCGCGCCACGCCCCTGCTCGCCCTGCTCCACGCTGCCCCGCGCCCGCTGCTGCTCGCTTACTTCAGTCGCCTCTGCACCAAGGGCGACATCCCCCCGCCGCTGCGCGCCCTGCCTCGCTACCGCCTGTTGCGCGACCTGCCGCGCCTGCTGCGGGCGCTGGACGCGCAGCCTTCCGCAGAGGCCACCAGCTGGGGCCGCCTGGGTTCGCGGCAGCGCAGGCGGAGTCGCCTAGAGCTGTGCAGCCTGCTGGAACGAGAGGCCGCCCGACTAGACCTAGGTTGAGCAGAGCTCCACCGCAGTCCCTAGTGTCTGCAGCCGCAATGCAACGGACACTGCCTAGAACCCCGGAATGAGCCTTAGACCCTGGAATCCTTGGGGTGCCTCGAGGACGACTGGCCGAAAAGCTTTATTCCCTGCCTCACAGGCCGGAAGTCCCAGCCCAGTCCCCGCGCGCGTCCCTCTTCCTCCTCATACTTTCCCTTGACTGAGAGCTCCTCTAACCCCTGTTCTGATGGGGGAGGGCGGTCTTCCCACTTCCTCTCCAGAACTCCAGAAAGAGCAGTATGCTTATGCTCCAGTCCAGGCTGGAGAGGTTGGGGCCGGGGTAGGGAGGCAGGAGCCATGTCAGTTCTGAAGGAGGGTGAGGGGGCGGGGGGGGGGGCGGGGGACGGCTAAGAGAAAACCTCCTTAGGGGCCAGGGATTCCCTTTCCCACACTGAGGCTCTGCCCAGTGGGAGAGAGGACTCTGGACCTAGGAAAAGAGGCTTTTGGCTCTGGGTGTAAGGACAATGGGAGTTGGGGGTGGGATGGGTGGTTGCTGGCGGTGGGGACCAAGATCCGGAAAGATGAATAAAGACAAACATGACAAACTAAAAAACACAGTGTGCTTCTCTAGTGTGGCTGAGGAGCCTGCCTGGGGGGTATGTGTCAGTGTGCTGGCCCAAATCCTCTGTGTCCACACCGCGTGGCATCCGTCACATTCTTACAAGCAGTGCCTCTGAAAGCAAAGGAGGATGGGGCAATCTCCTTGATCCCCCCAGTGATTCTTACAAAAGGAGAGAGAAAAACAGAGGCTTCGCCAGCTGGTGTGTCCATCATCACAGAACCAGCCCACAGCAACAGCACAGATAGGACCCCTGTCTGCCAGGCTCTGGGTCCTGGGTTCCTTCTACTCCCCATACCGCATTTCAGCAGGCAGTGGTGAAAAGCCCACTTTGTGGTGCCCTTTGGCCGTGCTTTTAGAGCTCCTGTCCCACAAAGGGTTACTGAGGCCCAAAGAGTGTGTGAGGGGACCGAGTGTGCCTAGTAAGGGGAGACCTAGTGGGCCCAGGACTCCAGGGCTGTGTCCGCCTTAGGGCTGGAGTGAGTAAGAGCTCCCTTACTCAGCCATGATGCATTCGCTGTCTTCTTCAGGGGCCCCTCCCAGCCAGGTGTCAGCAGAGGGAGAGGAGAGCCAAAGGAGGAGGAGGTGGGGCCACCACCCTAGTCCAAGGCTGCTGGCTCCCAAGCCTGGTGGTGGTGGGAGGGACAGAGAGGGGCGGGAACAGTCGGCTGCCTGCCGGGAGCCAAAACGAAACCACTCTGGACTGGAAGTAGGACGAGAGTTGGAACTCGCAGGACAGGGAGTGCACAAACTATCCAGCACAGCCCCCTCTGCCCCCTCTGGAGGCTGGGGAGGGATTCCAGCCCCTGCCACCCACAGACACGGGCTGACTAGGGTCAGGGGTAGGGTGTCTGCCCCCCTTAGGGGGGGCAGCACAGGGCCTCAGGCCTGGGTGCTGCCTGGCATCTAGAAGATGCCTGTGCCCTGGTTCTTGCTGTCCTTGGCACTAGGTCGAAGCCCCATTGTCCTTTCTCTGGAGAGGCTTGTGGGGCCTCAGGACGCTACCCACTGCTCTCCGGTGAGTCTGGAACCCTGGGGAGATGGGGGAAGGCTCAGAGTTCAGTTCTTGGCTCAGCAAAGCCCTAGCCTGGCTCCTGTCACTGCTGCCACCGCCAGAACTGCCCTGTCTGGTCTGTCTGGTACTGATGGGAGAAGAGAAGAATGGGGAAGGGGCAAGAGCTGGGTCTGTCTTCCTCTGGGAGGGTCTGGGAATACGGAGCCCCAGAAAAAGGTAGGTGGAGGTCTCAGGCAGAGAACAGTGCCTAGAAGGTGGGGGCACAAATTCTGACTCTCCTTTCCTTCCTTCCCAGGGCCTCTCCTGCCACCTCTGGGGTAAGTATCCCTACTTTCAAAAAGAATTTCCCAGGTTGGCTGAAGGGAGCAGAGCTGTCCCCCAGGTCCATGCCCTCCATGCCCACCTCAGCCCCAGAGAGCCAAGTTCTTTGGCTCTCTGGGTATGTCAGGTGCCACCAAATTCTGGGCTTGGAACAGCTTCAGCTCCCACCCACCCCTCCACACACAGACAGTGACATACTCTGCCTGCCTGGGGACATCGTGCCTGCTCTGGGTCCCGTGCTGGCGCCTACGCACCTACAGACAGAGCTGGTGCTGAGGTGCCACAAGGAGACCTACTGTGACCTCTGTGTGCGTGTGGCTGTCCACTTGGCCGTGCATGGTGAGCAAGTCATCCTGTGACAATGCATGTGAGTGTATCTGGGGTGGGCATGAGAGCCAGAGAATCTCTCAGGCAGCGCTGGGCATCCTCAGTGTTCTCCTGGAGGACACCAGCAGAAGGACTCCCAGGCCAGTGTGGTCTCCCCAGCCTCTGCTTCCCAGCACTGGGCTTTCCAGAAGGAAGCCAACCCCAAAGCCAGTCAGCCCAGAGCAGGGGGCCTCACCCAGGGCCTTGCTCTTGGGTCCTTCTAGGGCACTGGGAAGAACCTGAAGATGAGGAAAAGTTTGGAGGAGCAGCTGACTCAGGGGTGGAGGAGCCTAGGAATGGTGAGGAGAACCTGGCTGGCCCAAGTGCCCCATGCCAAGGCCTGGCCTGCCACTCCTGGGCCTGACCGACCCCTGCCCTGTTGCCCACAGCCTCTCTCCAGGCCCAAGTCGTGCTCTCCTTCCAGGCCTACCCTACTGCCCGCTGCGTCCTGCTGGAGGTGCAAGTGCCTGCTGCCCTTGTGCAGTTTGGTCAGTCTGTGGTATGCAAAATAATAATAATAATAACCTTCTAAACCTAAAATCCAATAAAACACTTACACATGCATTATCTCTTTGAGGATTACAAAAGAATTAAATTTATTGAAACCCTTCAGTACCAGGCATTACAGTCAGTGTTTTACAGGTATCAACTTATTTCTCACAACAGCCATGTGAGGTGGGACTATTCTTTTGATTCTGATCAGCGCTGTGGCCAAGTCCCTTCAGCCTGTTATGCCTCAGCCTTTATGTCTGTAAAATGGGGATAAGAATAGTTCTACTTCATATGCTTGACTATGAGAAATCACCAAACAGTTTTCCTGGGTGCTTCTACTATTTTACCCTCCCACCAGCAGTGTATGGGAGTTTTAGTTGCTTCCCATCTTTGCCAGCACTTGATGGTGTAATTTTATTTTATTTTTAAATTAAATATATTTGAATTTTAAGTATAAGGAACCCTCCATGAATTTGCATGTCATCCTCAGGCAGGGGCCATGCTAATCTTTTCTGTATTGTTCCAGTTGTAGTATATGTGGTGCCAAAACAAGCATAGGTGTTGTAATTGTAATAATTTTACTGCATATGTAGCGGTTTATCATTGTGGTTTTAATTTGTATCTCCCAATGACTGATGAAGTTGAGCACTTTTTTCACATGCTTATTGGCTATTTGTGTAACTTCCTTGTGAAACATCTCCTAAAGATTTTTTTTTTTTTTTTTTTTTTTTTTTTTGCCATGTAAAAAAAGAATAGTTCCGGCTGGGCATGGTGGTTCATGCCTGTAATCCCAGCCCTTTGGGAGGCCGAGCGGGCAGATCACGAGGTCAGGAGATCGAGACCATCCTGGCTAACACAGTGAAACCCCGTCTCCACTAAAAAAATACAAAAAATTAGCTGGGCATGGTGGCGGACGCCTGTAGTCCCAGCTACTCGGGAGGCTGAGGCCGGAAAATGGCGTGAACCCAGGAGGCGGAGCTTGCAGTGAGCCGAGATCCCACCACTGCACTCCAGCCTGGGTGACAGAGAGAGACTCCGTCTCAAAAAAAAAAAAAAAAAAGAATAGTCCCACCTCATATGACTGTTATGAGAATTAAATTGATACCTGTAAAACACTGGATGTAATGCCTGGCACTGAAGAATTTCGATAAATTTAATTCTTTTGTAATCCTCAAAGCTACCTGATGAACTAGGCATTATTATTATCCTCATTTTCCAGATAGAGAAAGTGAGGCTTGAAAAGGGGAGGTCTGTGGGCTGGATGCACTTCTCTGTACTCTTGGACCAAAAGAAGAGTCCTACCATACATAGCATGGTATACTTACCATGGTGTAAGTACCATGGGGCAGGGTGTCGGGGCTTCTCCCTGCCTCAGGAGGCCACATGTGCTTGGAAGAGCTATTTCCACTGGGGTCAAATCACTCAAACCCTCCAACCTCCAGCCGCCAGCCAATATCCTTTTATCTGGAGAACTGTAGATTGGGAGAACATCTGCTTGGTCCATGTCACAAGCAGTTGTAAGGAACACTGAGGCACTGGGTTGAATGGGAGAACCATTTCCGTGGGGAAAGGTGTCCCACATTGCACTGGGGTGTCTCATCTCCTTAGCTTTGGCCAGGTGATCTAGCACAGCAGGGTGGGGCAGGGATTTCAATGTCTAGGGCCTTTTCCCGTCCTGGTGACACTCTTACTGAGGACATTTGCTCTAGAACTGAGGCCCCTTGAAGGAAAGGTGAATGGTAGATTTCAGGCTATACAGTATAAATACAGTCATTGGTTGTGGGAGAAGGGCAGTGAGCAGAGTGGTCCCTGCAGATGATCCCACAGCCCTTGGCCTGGATCTGAGCCCTGCACCACCAGCCTTCCCCACCCCTCTCCTCACAGGGCTCTGTAGTATATGACTGCTTCGAGGCTGCCCTAGGGAGTGAGGTACGAATCTGGTCCTATACTCAGCCCAGGTACGAGAAGGAGCTCAACCTCACACAGCAGCTGCCTGGTAAGTGGACCCCCAAGTCCTGGCCCCATAGCCTCTGTCCCCTTTGGTCACTCCCCCTCCTGCTTTCACCTTCTTCTGCCTCCATCCACTCTCTGGCAGGGGTCTGTGCTCTAATCCTTCCCAGAGTCAGTCCCTCGGGCCTTCTCTCCCTGGGTGACATGGCTTTCCAGCCCCTGGGGAAGGTGCTTTGAGCATTGGATAGATGTGGGTGGTATGTAGGGGATGGGGAGCCATTCTTAATGCCCTCCTGGGAGTCAGATTGCCCCCACTTCTTTCCTCGGCCCCCAGCCCCACTGGAGGCTCTTCTGTGATCTCTCCCCAGACTGCAGGGGGCTCGAAGTCCGGAACAGCATCCCGAGCTGCTGGGGTAGGGGCTAGGGCCAGTGGGCTGGGAGGAGGGAGGGGCAGGGTCTAGAGTATGAGAGACCCTTGGAGTCCACTTCTGATATGGGCTGTCACATCTCAGAAGCTCACAGAACACATTCATTCATTCATTTATTCATTCATTCATTCATAACACATTAATTGCAGTATCTGCTCCTCTGTGCTAAGCACTGGGAATAGAAAGATGAATTTTGGGTCAGGCTCAGTGGCTCACGCCTGTAATCCCAGCACTTTGGGAGGCCGAGGTGGGAGGATTGCTTGAGCTCAAAAGTTCGAGACCAGCCTGGGCAACATGGCAAAACCCCATCTTTACCAAAAACACAAAAATTAACAGGGCATGGTGGTGTGCATTTGTGGTCCCAGCTACTCGTGAGGCTGAGGCAGGAGAATCGCTTGAGCCTGGGAGGCAGAGGCTGCAGTAAGCCGAGACTGCACCATTGCACTACAGCCTGGGTGACAGAAGAAGACTCTTGTCTCAAAAAACAAAAAAACAAAAAACAAAAAACTTGAAATAAAAGCTAAGAAAGTCAAGGGTCTGACTTTTTTCCCATGTACTATTTGGATTTTGCTTTGGTTTTATATTTTCTTTTTTATTGTGTATAACATACATACATAAAAGTATGTAAAGGATACTGATTTTCATGTCCAGTTCTTTTTTTTTTTTTTTTGGCGGAGTCTTGCTCTGTCACCCAGGCTGGAGTATAGTGGTGCGACCTCAGCTCACTGCAACCTCCGCCTCCTGAGTTCAAGTGATTCTTCTGCCTCAGCCTCCCAAGTAGCTGAGATTACAGACATGTACCACCATACACAGCTAATTTTTGTATTTTTAGTAGAGATGGGGTTTCACCATGTTGGCCAGGCTGGTCTTGAACTCCTGACCTCGTGATCCTCCCGCCTCGACCTCCCAAAGTGCTGGGATTACAGGCGTGAGTCGAGGCCTCCAGTCAATTCATTTTTATGTATGTATACACTTGCATAACTAGCACCCAGATCAATACATAAATACTGTGATTTCTGAATTACTAAATTTTTTCAACTTCATTTTCTTTTTGGCTTCTTAAGATTAAAGTTGGCCTGCCTCTTTGGCAACCCATTAAAGACTATTCAACACCAGAGTTTTAAAAACACAGATATATATCATGCATTTCATTTCTTCCTTCATTAAGTAGGCATTGATTCATTTATTCAACAGATATTTATTAATTTCTGTGTACCAGGCAAATTCCTGGACACTGGAAATATTAATAAATCAATAAATCAAGATGACAAAAAACCCCAACCCCATGGAACTGGTGTCAGGGTCAGGGTGGGGGTGAGGAAGGACACAACAAACACATGGAGATGTGAAGAATGCAGGAAGTTAGACAGTGATTAGCGCTAAGGAGAACATTTGTGGAAGGGGTGGGGAAGGTTGGGAGTGGCAGAGGTCAGGGATGGTCTCACTCTGGTGAGCAGAGACCTGAAAGAGGTGAGAGAGGAGCCATATATCTGAGGGAGGAGAGAATAGCCAGCACAAAGGGCCTGGGGTGGGAGTATGTCAGGGGTGTTTAAGAAATAGTAAGAAGGGGGCCAGGCGTGGCGGCTCACGCCTGTAATCCCAGCACTTTGGGAGGCCGAGGTGGGCGGATCACGAGGTCAGGAGATCCAGACCATCCTGGCTAACACGGTGAAACCCCGTCTCTACAAAAAATACAAAAAAGTCAGCCGGGCGTGGTGGTGGGTGCCTGCAGTCCCAGCTACTCGGGAGCCTGAGGCAGGAGAACGGCGTGAACCCCGGGAGGCGGAGCTTGCAGTGAGCCAAGATTGTGCCACTGCACTCTAGCCTGGGTGACAGAATGAGACACTGTCTCAAAAAAAAAAAAAAAAAAGAGAGAGAGAAATAGTAAAGAGGTCCTTAATAACACTGCAGCAGAGTTATTAAGGACACAAGTGCCATAGGCTGCACGTGGTGGCTCACGTCTGCGATTCCAGCACTTTGGGAAGCTGAGGCAGGAGGATTGCTTGAGGTCAGGAGTTCAAGACCAGCCTGTCCAACATGAATGAAACCCCATCTCTACTAAAAATACAAAAATTAGCCAGGCGTGGTGACGCATGCCTGTAATCACAGTTACTCGAGTGGCTGAGGCAAGAGAATCGCTTGAATCCAGGAGGTGGAGGTTGCAGTGAGCTATCACACCACTGTACTCCAGCCTGGGCAACAGAGTGAGACTGCCTCTCAAAAAAAAAAAAAAAAAAAGGACACAAGTGTCAAGAGGTGAGATCAGAAAGGTCACAGTTGACTTGTTTTAAATGACTTGTTTTAAAGAGGTTACAGATCTTTCTGGCTGCAGAGGAAAATAGCTGTCCTCAGACCACACACTAGGGCCTCCACAGGCTTAGCTCTGGGCAGCTGCTAGGGGCAAAGTCTGGTCTGAGGTGAGGACACACGCTCTGTCCTCCAAGAGCCTCCCAGTCTAAGGGGTTTGAAAGAAACTCCAAAGGGTCAGTCAGGTATGCAGAAGAGGTGAGGAAGTCTAAGCTGTGCTCTCTCTCTTTGCCTCTCCCACCAGCCCTGCCCTGGCTCAACGTGTCAGCAGATGGTGACAATGTGCATCTAGTTCTGAATGTCTCTGAGGAGCAGCACTTTGGCCTCTCCCTGTACTGGAATCAGGTCCAGGGCTCCCCAAAACCCCGGTGGCACAAAAACCTGGTGAGGCCTCCCCCTTCCCAAGTCCATTCCCACTGTAGGCCAGTGCCTGTGCAAAGGACGCAGTGCCTTATCAAAGAGGACCCTTGAAGAGGACTCACCCCAAGCAAGGGAACACTGGTGGGGGAACTTCTGCCTTCCTGGTTTCCTTGACTTTGGCGTCCTCCTCTTCCTCCTTATCTTCTCCAACCTCCTTCCTTTATTTGTTCCACAGACTGGACCGCAGATCATTACCTTGAACCACACAGACCTGGTTCCCTGCCTCTGTATTCAGGTAGGAGCAGAGTCCAGCTGGGTGCCAGAAGAGGAGTGGGAAGATGATGATGGGGGTGATCCCTGCCTTCCTGGTCTCACCATTCTTCAAACCATTCATTGAGGTGGAGACTGTGGCTCCCTGGGGTGGCTGGCCCTTCCTTGACCCTTGCTGTCCTATGCCTTCTGTCTATTACATTCCCTGAATGCTCTCCCTGATCCTCCACAGAACTCCTACTGACACTTCATGGCCCCATTCAAATGTCACCTTCTCCTTGAAGCCTTTCCCTACTCCTCCAGTTCTGTCTTTGTGTTCCCCTGGGGGGCAGAGCATGTGCTACGAACTTGGACTGGTTTGAATCTTGGCTCTTGCCATTTGCTAGTTGTGTAACCTTGGGCAAGTCACTTCACCTCTGTGAGCCTGTTTCTCATCTATAAAATGGGAATAATAATAGTAACAGCTTCTTGGGGCTGTTATAAGAATGTGTGCCACATCCAGGCTTAAACCTGCTGGCTCTTTCCTCTTCCTCTGCACATTTATTTATTTTTTTAGACAAGGTCTCACTCTGTTGCCCAGGCTGGAGTGCAGTGGCACAATCATGGCACACTGCAGCCTCAGTCCCCTGGGTTCAAGTGATCCTCCTGCCTCAGCCTCTCAAGTAGCTGGAACTACTGGTGAGCACTACCATACTCAGCTAGTTTTTTTGTTTTGTGTAGAAATGCGGTCTTGCTGTTACCCAGGCTGTTCTGAATTCCTGGGCTTATGTTATCCTCCTGCCTTAGCCTCCCACCAAGTGCTGGGATTATAAGCATGAGCCACTGTGGCTGGCCCCAATTGCACTTCTTTTTTTTTTTTTTTTGAGACAGAGTCTCACTCTGTCGCCCAGGCTGGAGTGCAGTGGCGCGATCTCGGCTCACTGCAAGCTCCGCCTCCCGGGTTCACGCCATTCTCCTGCCTCTGCCTCCTGAGTAGCTGGGACTACAGGTGCCTGTGACCACGCCTGGCTAATTTTTTTGTATTTTCAGTAGAGACAGGGTTTCACCTTGTTAGCCAGGATGGTCTCGATCTCTCGACCTCATGATCCGCCCGCCTCGGCCTCCCAAAGTGCTAGGATTACAGGCATGAGCCACCATGACTGGCCCCTGATTGCACATTTAATTGGTCATCAGGTCTCATCCATCTTACCTCTGACATTAATGTCCCTCATTCTCTTTCCCCCTCCTCTCCATCTCAGTCCAGCTTGGGGCTCTATCATCTCTTTTCTAGACTGTTTCAATACTTCCAAGCTCCTCTCCCTTCCCATCACTTTCTTGGCATTCTGGGCCCATATTCTGCCCCCAGTGGTGCCTTTTCACTGTATTTTCCCCATGATTCCCCTTCATGAGAGCACTGTTACATCCAGTGGAGCTACTTACCAAGATACACCCATCTCCCTGCCTTTTCTCAGGTGATTCCCATTACCTCAAATACCCTCACCTCTTTCCCAAAGCTTTTCCCCAACCACCCAGCCTCTCCTAGTTCCAAATCCCCTTGCACTTCTATCTTTCCTTGTCCATTTATCACTTCATTTCTTTTATTTTCTTAAAATTTTTTTTTGTGGTTTTTTTTTTTTTTTTTTTTTTTTTAGAGACAGCATCTTGCTCTGTCACCCATGTTAGAGTGCAGTGACATGAACACGGTTCATTGCAGCCTCAACCTCCCAGGCTCAAGGGATCCTCCTGCCTCAGCCTCTGAGCAGCTGGGACTGCAGGCATGGGCTACCATGCCTGGCTAATTGTTTCCTTCTTTGTGGTGTTGTTTTTTAATACGGAGTTTCACTCTTTTGCCCAGGCTGGAGTGCAGTGGCGAGTACAATGGCGTGATCTCGGCTCACTGCAACCTCTGCCTCCCAGGTTCAAGCCATTCTCCTGCCTCAGCCTCCCAAGTAGCTGGAATTACAGGCACACGCCACTACACCTGGCTAATTTTCGTATTTTTAGTACAGACGGGGTTGCACCATGTTGGTCAGGCTGGTCTCAAATTCCTGACCTCGTTATCCACCCGCCTCGGCCTCCCAAAGTGCTGGGATTACAGGCGTGAGCCACCGTGCCCAGCCTGTTTTCATTTTTTAATGTTTTGTGGTGATGGGCCACCACACCCAGCTCGATCACTTCCTTTCTTATTTGGGCATCTAATTTCTTCTTGTACACAACAGATGCTCAATAAATATTATGAAATGAGTGAGTGCTTTACTAATTTATATAAATAATTTATCCTTACTACAAGTGTGAGTTTGTGATTTCTTTGAAAGCAAGCAAATCATATCTAATTCAAATGTAATAGCTTTGCAAGAGCCTTGCATGGTGCCTGGCATATAGCGCCTATTCATTGTTTTGTTTTGTTTTTAAACAAGGTAACAGTATGAGGGTCCTCACTGTTGAATGAGTGAATAAATCTTACTGCCTAGCACAGCCATAGGACACAGCAGATGTTCATGAGATGTATGCTGTGATTTAAATGTCTTCATTGCCAAACACAATGCCTGCCACATAGTTGGTGTTCCTAACTAAAGGCTTGATGAATAAATTTATATATTACCTCTAGTGCTTAGCACAGAGCTATGCATGTAATAGGCACTCTTAAAACGTCTGTTGAAAGAATAAATGAATGTGTCCTTAGAACTTAGCACATTCCCTGACACATAGCAGGTGCTCACAAAGTGACTGTGGAATGAATTAAAATTAATTATCCGCCAGGCATGGTGGCTCACACCTGTAATCCTAGCACTTTGGGAGGCCAAGGTGGGTGGCTCACGAGGTCAGGAGTTTGAGACCAGCCTGGCCACCATAGTGAAACCCAGTCTCTACTAAAAGTACAAAAATAAGCCAGGCGTGGTGATGTACGCCTGCAGTCCCAGCTACTCGGGAGGCTGAGGCAGGAGAATCACTTGAACCCAAGAGGCGGAGGTTGTGGTGAACCGAGATCACACCACTGCACTCCAGCCTGGGCAACAGAGTAAGACTCGGTCTCAATAAATAAATAAATAAATAAATAAATAAATATTTAATTATCCAAGGTCCCTTGTGCCTGCCATACTGCTAAGACACAATGGTAGGCACCCATTAAAAGTCTGTTGAATGGGCCAGGTGTGGTGGCTCACACTTGTAATCCCAACACTTTGGGAAGCCGAGGGGGCAGATCACTTGAGGTCAGGAGTTCGAAACCAGCCTGATCAACGTGGTGAAACCCCATCTCCACTAAAAATACAAAGATTAACCAGTTAGCCTGGCGTTGTGGCACACGCCTATAATCCCAGCTCCTCAGGAGGCTGAGATGGGAGAATCGCTTGAACCTGGGAGGCGGAGGTTGTAGTGAGCCAAGATTGCACCACTACACTCCAGCCTAGGTGACAAGAGCGAGACTCTATCTCAAAAAAAAAAAAAAAAAAAAAAAGTTTGTTGAATGAAAATCTTGCCAGTGCCCAGCATTATGTTTGCTGGAAGACTAGATGTGAGCATCTCCAGGTTTTGTAAAAGGCGAGAAGACCCAGCACATACTTGTGAACTGTCTGCTGAATGAGTGTGTCCCCAGTGTCTAGCAGAGGGCCAGGCACATGCCCATGGAGGGGACCTGAGCAGACCACCGTTTCCTTTCCAGGTGTGGCCTCTGGAACCTGACTCCGTTAGGACAAACATCTGCCCCTTCAGGGAGGGTGAGCTGACCGGCCTGGGGCTGGGGTTGGGGCTGGGGCATTGCGAGCGATGGGTGCCTAGCGTGTGGTGACTGCGCCCTTTCCTTGCAGACCCCCGTGCACACCAGAACCTCTGGCGAGCAGCCCGGCTGCGACTGCTGACCCTGCAGAGCTGGCTGCTGGACGCGCCGTGTTCGCTGCCCGCAGAAGCCGCACTGTGCTGGCAGGCTCCAGGTGGGGACCCCTGCCAGCCATTGGTCCCGCCGCTTTCCTGGGAGAATGTCACTGTGGACGTAAGTAAAGCAGAGGACACCTCCCGTAGTGAGGGGAGAGTGGGGAACCAGGGTCCCCCTTTTGTGATCCCACCCATTCCTCTCTTTCCACAGAAGGTTCTCGAGTTCCCATTGCTGAAAGTCCACCCTAACCTCTGTGTTCAGGTCAGAAAGGGGTGCTGAGTGCTGGGCTGGGGGTTGGACCTGGGCAGACCCCCCAACCAAGGGGGTCTTAGTTCTTGGGCCGCTAAAGCATAGTGGTTGCCAGCTTCCTCTTTGGGAGTTCCACTATTTACTTTAGCAGTGTGTGGGACCCTGGGCAAGTCCCTTCACCTCTCTGAACGTCAGTCTCCTCATCTGTTTAATGCAGATGATAATACAGTAATTGCCTCATGGAGTGGTTGTGATGATGAAATAAGAGAAGTGCTTCCCCTTAGGAATCCATACAGACTAAATGCTCAATAAATGTAGCCACTTTTGTTATTGCTATCCTTATTCTATTTCCATACATGTAGAATGGGTTGCTCTACAGTTTCAAAGGGTGATTATAAGAATATTCCCTCATTCGAGATGTTTTTAGCAGTGCGAGTCACTGTTTTAGGCATTTGTGATAGATCCTAACATCTCTACCCTCATAGAACTTACATTGTAATGGACAAAGGCAGCCAACAGACATTGTAAATAAATTATATAATATCTTAAAATTGCATACAAATACTATGGGAAAGGGATAAGGTGGGACTGGGGTTGCAATTTTTAGCAGGGTGGTCATGTGAGAAGGGAATCTCTTTGAGAAGGTTAGATGAGAGGGGAACTATGCTTTGTAAGACATAAAAACAGCTTTAGGGTCAGAAGATACTTTACACAGATGACCTCACAAGGCTGGGGCAGAGAAAGATGTAGTGACTCCTAATCACCCAGCCTTGAATCCACATCTGCTCAAGATCAGATTGAGTGCAGATTCCCAACCCAACAGGCCTTCTGTTGCCTGCCCTGTTCTGGTCTTTCTGCCTTTGGCTTTCACTTTTCTTAGTGGCCCTAACCATGGTCTCTTCCCAGCAGGTGAACAGTTGGGAGAAGCTGCAGCTGCAGGAGTGCTTGTGGGCTGGTGAGTTGGGCCTGGGGGTGGCTGGGACAGGGCCACCTCCTAGGGGTGAAGGTCAGGGCATGGGAGGTGGGCAAGTGGCCAATCCCAGCAAAGTTGGGTCTTGGTCAGAGTGGCCTCTCACCCCTTCCAGACTCCCTGGGGCCTCTCAAAGACGATGTGCTACTGTTGGAGACACGAGGCCCCCAGGACAACAGATCCCTCTGTGCCTTGGAACCCAGTGGCTGTACTTCACTACCCAGCAAAGCCTCCACGGTTAGGACTGGGTGACCCTCCTCCACAGATCTCTCCAAATGCATCTCACACCTGGCCTCAAATTTTCACTCCATCCACCCTGTGCCGGTCTCTGGGAACACGGGGGTGACTCAGACCAGGGCCATATTCAGCGGCATCACCAAAGTCTCCCAATCCCGTCTACCCCGTTCTACCCAGCTGTAGCCTGTTAGGTGCTGCCCTAAGGGTACTACCTCCAGGTAACAGTGCCCCCATCCTTTGTCTTGGCAGAGGGCAGCTCGCCTTGGAGAGTACTTACTACAAGACCTGCAGTCAGGCCAATGTCTGCAGGTGAGCTGGTGGCAGAAGGGCCCCACCTCAATGCCCAGGGGCAACAGGCCTAAAACTAGCACTCATCTCCTGTCTATTTAGGCTTATTTTATGTTCAGCCCTGGGAAAGTTAAGAGTAGACGAAGGGCCAGGCACGGTGGCTCAAGCCTGTAATCCCAGCACTTTGGGAGGTCGAGATCTTCCTGGCTAACACGGTGAAACCCCGTCTCTACCAAAAAAAAAATACAAAAAACTAGCCGGGTGAGGTGGCAGGTGCCTATAGTCCCAGCTACTCGGGAGGCTGAGGCAGGAGAATGGCATAAACCCGGGAGGCGGAGCTTGCAGTGAGCTGAGATCCGGCCACTGCACTCCAGCCTGGGCGACAGAGCAAGACTCCGTCTCAAACAAAACAAAACAAGAGTAGACGAAGCATAGTTCCTATCCCTAAGGGGCACACTGTTGGCTAGACACCCGTAAACAGATAACCACACCTAGAGGTGCTAAGTTTTGGGTTCCAGGGAGAGCTTCCGGAAGAATTTCTTCCTATAAGCCAGATTTGGTATGGAAGAAGTCACACCATAGGCAGTGGGCACAGCACAAACAAAGGCAGAGCAGCTGCAGGAACCCTAGCAGGGAGATATGCATAGTTGATACTGGGAATTTGGAGATCAGGCCACCAGAGCTTGGTGAATGTTAAACACCTGGCTGCTGCCCTGGATTTGGTTCTGTTTGTATCTTACAGCTATGGGATGATGACTTGGGAGCGCTGTGGGCCTGCCCCGTGGACAAATGTGAGTATTGTAAGAACTGCCTTTCCTTTCTGTACCAGGAGCGGGGATCTTGACAGGTACCACTCTTGGGCACAGCACATGCAATGGCCTTGTCCTTCCCTGAGATCAGATAAACAGAGGGTCATTCCTTCATTCACTCAAAAAATATGATGAGAGCTTGCAGGGATCCCAGGAACACCAAAAAGATAAATCCCTGCCCCCTATCCCTAGAAGACTAGCAAGACATGAGCCAGTCACTTACATTTAAAGTGTGAGCTACTGAAGCACCACCAAGTGTTCAGTGCTGTAAATGCATACAATGTGGACCTGACCTGGGAGGGGTGAAGAGCTCAGGGGGAAGGTTTCAGCAAAACTCTGAAGACTGAGCTAGGGGAAGGGGGTAGAGAGAGAGGGTCTTAGATAGGCAAGTTTCTGTCATGAGATAAAGATGCAGGAGCCATGTAGGGGATTTAGATCTTATGTTGAGAGCAGCAGGAGTTACAATTAAATTTTTATATATATATATATATATTTTTTTTTTTTTTTTTTTAATTTTTGAGACAGAGTCTCGCTCTGTCGCCCAGGCTGGAATGCAATGGCACAATCTCAGCTAACTGCAACCCCTGCCTCCCAGGTTCAAGCAATTCTCTACCTCAGCCTCCCGGGTAGCAGGGATTAATAGGCACCCGCCACCATGCCCGGCTAATTTTTGTATTTTTAGTAGAGATGGGGTTTCACCGTCTTGGCCAGGCTGGTCTTGAACTCCTGACCTCGTGATCCGCCCGCCTCGGCCTCCCAAAGTGCTGGGATTATAGTCGTGAGCCACCGCACCCGGCCCAAATTTACATTTTTAAAAGATTTCTGAGGCTGCCATGAATTAATTCAAGGTGAATCGATTGGAGGCGAAAAAAAGACAGGGCAGGGACACTAGATAGTTGCAGACACCCAGGACAGCAAGATCAAGGGCCCAGCAACCCTAGCTTAGGGGAGAATAATACGAGCTGACATTTTAGCACTTAAGATGCTCGGCATTGTGTTAAGTGCTTTATATATTAATATATTTAGTCCTCATACCAACCCTGTGACGTAGCTACAACTTTACAGAGGAGAAAACTGAGGCAGAAGGTGACCTTACTTATTCAAAGACCCCTAAACAGATGGAGCTATATTCATCCACTGGCTCTGACACTGTGCTGTGGACTTTGGACAAATCATATTTTTCTTTTTTTGAGAGGAGTCTCAACCTGTCGGCCAGGCTGGAGTGCAATGGCGCGATCTCTGCTCACTGCAACTTCTGCCTCCCGAGTTCAAGCGATTCTCCTGCCTCAGCCTCCCGAGTAGCTGGGATTACAGGCGTGCGCCACCACACCCGGCTAATTTTCTGTATCTTTAGTAGAGACGGGGTTTCACCATGTTGGCCAGGCTGGTCTTGAACTCCTGACCTCGTGATCCACCCGCCTTGGCCTCCCAAAGTGCTGGGATTACAGGCGTGACCCACCGCGCGCGGCTGTCAAATAATTTCTCTTAAGTCTCAGTTTTTCTCCTCTGTGGAAAGTGAGTGTAAGTTTCTAACTCTTCTTTCATGGGTCTCCCAGACATCCACAAGCGCTGGGCCCTCTTGTGGCTGGCCTGCCTACTCTTTGCCGCTGCGCTTTCCCTCATCCTCCTTCTCAAAAAGGATCACGCGAAAGGTGAGCGCTTCCCGGCTCCCCATTCCCCAGGGGCAGGACCAGAGTGGCTGTGGGAGTTCTCCGAGGGAAGGTGGCGGCCGAGCTCACAGGCTGCCTCCGCCCCTCTCCCCTAACAGGGTGGCTGAGGCTCTTGAAACAGGACGTCCGCTCGGGGGGTGAGTGGGAGCACGCGCCGGGCGGGGGGCCGCCCCGGGGGGGCCAGGCCTGTGCCAGCTCACCTCTTCCCTCCCCATCTGTTTTCTCCGGCAGCGGCCGCCAGGGGCCGCGCGGCTCTGCTCCTCTACTCAGCCGATGACTCGGGCTTCGAGCGCCTGGTGGGCGCCCTGGCGTCGGCGCTGTGCCAGCTGCCGCTGCGCGTGGCCGTAGACCTGTGGAGCCGTCGTGAAATGAGCGCGCAGGGACCCGTGGCCTGGTTCCACGCGCAGCGGCGCCAGACCCTGCAGGAGGGCGGCGTGGTGGTCCTGCTCTTCTCGCCCGGGGCGGTGGCACTGTGCAGTGAGTGGCTACAGGACGGGGTGTCCGCGCCCGGGGCGCACGGCCCACACGACGCCTTCCGTGCCTCGCTCAGCTGCGTGCTGCCCGACTTCTTGCAGGGCCGGGCGCCCGGCCGCTACGTGGGGGCCTGCTTCGACAGGCTGCTCCACCCGGACTCCGTACCCGCCCTTTTCCGTACCGTGCCCGTCTTCTCACTGCCCTCCCAACTGCCGGACTTCCTGGGGGCCCTGCAGCAGCCCCGCGCCCCGCGTCCCGGGCGGCTCCAAGAGAGGGCGGAGCACGTGTCCCGGGCCCTTCAGCCAGCCCTGGATAGCTACTTCCATCCCCCGGGGACTCCCGCGCCTGGACGCGGGGTGGGACCTGGGGCCGGGGACGGGACTTGAATAAAGGCAGACGCTGTTTTTCTACCCATGTGGCCCACACGCGTCTACGTCTCCGTGGCTGGGCTGGCAAACGTCGTCCCCTAGCCCCGCGGCCCTTTAAAGCCCGGACAGGTGCAGCTCGGTACCGCCTGTGGTTGGCTGGCGTGGGGTGACGTAATGGCACATGGCCCGTCACCATTGGCTGGGCGGCACGCTCCGCCCCCGGGACTGCAGCGCGGGTGGGGGTTGTGCGTTTTACGCAGGCTGTGGCAGCTACGCGGTGAGGAGACGGCTCACGGCGCCCGTGGGCTGGGGCGGTCGGTTCTTCCTCCTCCGTGGCCTACGAGGGTCTGGATCCTTCTCTGCCGGCTCGTGGGCCGTGCCTTTGCCCTTCTGCGAGGCCCTGAATCTGACCCCTTCCCTTCATATCCGGATCCGGGCTCCTCCCCCAAAGCCCGGGGTTCCGGACACCTCCCCCAAAACAACCCCTCTGGCCTCTCCTTCAGTACTTGGAATCTGATCTCTTCTCCCTAATTCTGCGGATCCGGCCCCTAATAGCCTTTATCAGACCCTCAAACAAGAGGCTGACTTCTGCCCCCTTGCCAAGAAGCGAGGCCACTTTCCTCTCCCCACCCCCATGCTAACGGGGATAACTTATTTCTCTTCTGGAATTGCATCTTATGCGCCTTTCCCCACCCATCCCCACAGCCCCTGCAGTACCCAGTTTGGCCTCTTTTGCTTGTAATAACGCACTTCCCAACGCCACGGCACCTCAGAACAGACCCTTTTTCTCGCGTGGGGCCTGACTCCTTCAGTGAAGCCTCTCCACGCCCTCTTTCTGCAGGTCCCCAGCCTGGGTAAAGATGGCCCCATGGCTCCCGAAGGGCCTGGTCCCAGCTGTGCTCTGGGGCCTGAGCCTCTTCCTCAGCCTCCCAGACCCCATCTGGCTCCAGCCCTCTCCACCTCCCCAGTCTTCTCCCCCGCCTCAGCCCCATCCGTGTCATACCTGCCGGGGACTGGTTGACAGCTTCAACAAGGTGGGTGCACTAGCAGCCTCGTTGGAGGGGAACACAGCGATTTAGAGTGGGGAACTCTGGGATGCAAATCTGCGTGGATTCAAGTTTCATTTTGGTCTCTTTCTAGTTGTATGGCCCTAGGCAAGTTGCCTTTCTGTGCCTCAGTTTCCTGGTCAGTAGAACAGTGAAGTGCTAGCATGTGCCAGGCACTGTACTTAGCTATTACTAATTTTCTGTTTCCAGGGCCTGGAGAGAACCATCCGGGACAACTTTGGAGGTGGAAATACCGCCTGGGAGGAAGAGAAGTTGTCCAAATACAAAGACAGGTAAGGGGCTGCTGGGGGAATGGGTGTATATTCCCCTCCCTGCCAAATCTCTGCTCTACTGGTGGAGGGCTAGGAACTCTTGGGGAGCACTTATTCATTCAACAAATAGCACTGAACATCTATAGTATAGCAGTAAACAAGGCAAGCAAAATCCCACCTTCCTGGAGCTCACATTCTAGTAGAGAAGACAAGCAATGAATAAGTGAATAATATTATGTCAGATGAAAGAACAAACAGTGAAGCACGGTAGACTGCAGGATGGTGGGAGGCAGCGTGTTCAAGATGTGGCATTTGAATAGTGAGACCTGAAGTGAAGAAGCGAGCTATGTGACAGGAAGGAAATTGGGCAGAGGATGGGACTGAGTTGGTGTATTCGAGAAGTGGCTGGAGTGGAGTGAGCAAAGGGGAGAGTGGTAGAAGGTGAAGGCAGAGGCTTAGGCCTCAAAGGCTACAGAAAAGAGTTTAGATTTTTTTTTGGAGTGTAATGGGAAGTTCTTGGAAGGTTATGAGCAGAAAAAGTGATACTGTCTTCTTTATACATTTAAAGATTACCCACACTGCTATGTAGCAAAAACAGACTGTAAGGGGCAAGGGTGGAGGAAGCAGGGAGACCAGTTTGGGAGGCAAGTGCATCATCTAGGTATGAAGGCAATACGAGCTAATGTAGTATCTAGTGGAGGACATGGTGAAGGGGTCACAGTCTGGGTATATTTTGCAGAGAGAACAATAGGACCTGGTGATAGATTCATTATGGGTATAAAGAAATGGTAGAATAAAAGATGCTTACTAGATTTTGGGCCTGAGCAACTGGGTGAATAGTGCAGCTGTTTTCTAAGATGGTGAGATGGGAAACTGAGAAGGTTTAGGGGAGGGGTGGGATATGGTGTTCTTTGAACGTATTGGGCTGAAATGTCCATTAGACATCCAGGTAGACTCCATCCAAATCTGGAATTCAGAAAAGAGTAGGAATTGGAAACAGGAATTTGAGAGTCATCATTATATAGTCAGTATGTGAAGAAAGTCATTATGAGGAGAGCCATTATATAGTCAGTATATATAATACAGAAAGCCATTATATAGTCAGTATGTAAAGAAAGGCATGGGAAGGATACAGAAAACCAAGCCCTGAGCCCTGAGTCCTGAGCCTCCAGCTTTTCAAAGTCAAATGGAAGAGGAGTCAGCAAAGGCTCAGAGTTAGACCTGGTTGTTGGTTCTTAACCTCTCAGAGCCACAGTTTCTTCGCCTGTAAAATGGGGATATTAATACCTGGTTTGCCTATTTCATAGGAGTGTGGAAAGGGCTTAACTGGGATGCCCACTAGAAATAAAGGTTTGTTATTATGTAACATTGGTCATTTTCTCTTTTCCTTTGCCGGGCATGAGTTTCCTCATTCAGGAATGAGGGCATTGGCTAAGACAACCCCAGAGGCACTTCCAGCTTTGTAATGGCTCCTGCGTTACTTGCTTTTTAAAATCACTTCCTATATGCCAGGCACTGTGTAAGACCCTTTAAATACAGGATATAAGGCATCAAATATTTATATATATATTTTTTTTAATTGTGGTAAAATACACATAAAAAATTTCCCATTAAGGACATTTAATAACATTTACAATGTTGTGCAACCATCACCACTATGTAGTCCCAGAACATTTTCATTACCCCCCAAAAAATCCTATACCTGTTACACAGCCACTCCCCATTCTCCCCTTCCTCTGGCTCTTGGCAATCACTAATTTGTGTTAGTCAAGCAGAAATTATGGATTTGCTGATTTCATTGGAATCATAAAATATGTGGCCTTTTGTGTCTGGCTAGTTTCACTTAGCATAATGTTTTCAAGGTTCACCCATACTGTAGCATATATCAATACTTATTCCTTTTTATGGCTGAATAATATTCTCGTTTGGCTGTACCACATTTTGTTTATCCATGCATCAGTTGATGGACATCTGCATTGTTTCTACCTTTTGGCTGTTGTGAGTAGTGCTGCTATGAACATTGTGTACAAGTTTTCATTTGAACACCTGTTTTCCATTCTTTTGGGTCTATATCCAATAGTGGAATTGGCAGGTTCTATGGCAATTCCATGTTTAACTTATTGAGGAACTGCTTTTCCACAATGGTGATGCCATTTTTTATTCCCATCTGCAGTGTGGGAGGATTCTAATTTCTCCACATCCCTGCCAACACTTGTTATAGGTTGTATTTTTAGCTATATCTACCCAGCAAGGGTATTATATTCCATTGCTCAGATGCAGGAACTGATGTATGTTACAACAAACCTGCAGGGAAGGTATTGTTGTCCCCATTTTACAGATGACAAAACAAAGAGGTTCAAAGAAGTTAAGTGACTTGCCCAAGGTCCTACCACTAGATTTGAACCCAGGTCCGTCTGCCTCCCAGAACCATGATCCCTTCTATTGTACCTCATGGCCTTTCCTTTCATATTGTCACGGCACGAGGAAGGGTAGAGAGAGACCTGAGGAGGGTGGTGGGCGGGATGGGGCGTGTTTCCCACCAGCCCTGCCCTGTCTGGTCAGTGAGACCCGCCTGGTAGAGGTGCTGGAGGGCGTGTGCAGCAAGTCGGACTTCGAGTGCCACCGCCTGCTGGAGCTGAGTGAGGAGCTGGTGGAGAGCTGGTGGTTTCACAAGTGAGTGGCAAGGGGGCCTTCCCTAGGAGTGAGTCACAGGTGGGGCCTGGTGATAAGGCCTTGACTTGGCCAAGAAGCAGGGGGGTGCATGCTGGGGGCCATGTCCTGGTTCTGTTCCTTCCAAACCCAGATCTGTTAAGGACTTGCAGGGGGACTTGTGCTCCACTTGAACCTCAGTTTACCCCTCTGCCAAATGGGGAAAGGGCATTGGTCAGATGGCCTTTTGGGTCTTATGTCCAAGCTGGGTTGAATCACAGATTCAGGCGTGGGGGAATGGGAACAGCACTTCTGACACTATCTCAGCGCCTCCTCCCCACTTCCCTCCACCCTGCCCCTGCCTCAGGCAGCAGGAGGCCCCGGACCTGTTCCAGTGGCTGTGCTCAGATTCCCTGAAGCTCTGCTGCCCCGCAGGCACCTTTGGGCCCTCCTGCCTTCGTGAGTTTTTAAGTTGCTCTTGGGGATGGGAGGGGACTGCCAAGTCCAGGTATCCAGTCCTGGCTCTGTCCCTAGCTAGCTGTGTGAACTCAGGCTACTCAGATAACTTCTCTGGACCTCAGTTCTTGCCCACCTCACAGGGCTGGGGAGATGGGCAAATCAGTGGGGAAAGGCTTGGAGAAAGCACAGGGGCTACACTGAGTCAGATGCAGTATGGTTATCATCGTGTATTAAAGAAATGATAGACCCCCCAGCCCCTTCATTTCCCATGCCAGATCGGACTATGGTATCTTCCTGGGGAGGGGCGGGTGTTGCCCTGGAGCCCCCATGGTCACCATCTATCCTCACACACAGTCCTGGCACAAGAGGCAAACTTACTACCAGCCTCTTTTAGAACAGTCTTTCCTGAAGCTACAGATAAAGAGGTAGCTGCAAAAATGGCAAATTCAGTCTTTGTAAAAGAAAATATTGGCAGGGTGCAGTGGCTCACGCCTGTAATCCCAGCACTTTGGGAGGCCAAGGCAGGCGGATCACGAGGTCAGGAGATCGAGACCATCCTGACTAACACGGTGAAACCCCGTCTCTACTAAAAAATACAAAAAATTAGCTGGGTGTGGTGGCGGGCGCCTGTAGTCCCAGCTACTCGGGAGGCTTAGGCAGGAGAATGGCATGAACCCGGGAGGCGGAGCTTACAGTGAGCCAAGATCACGCCACTACACTCCAGCCTGGGCGACAGAGCCAGACTCTGTCTCAAAAAAAAAAAAAAAAGAAAATATTTGTTGCAGTGGCTCGTGCCTGTAAACCCAGCACTTTGGGAGGCGGGGGAAGGGGGGTCACTTGAGGGCAGGAGTTTGAGAGACCAGCCTGGGAAACAAAGCAAAAAAAAAAAAAAAAAAAAAAAAAAAAAAAAAAAGGTGGGTCATGGTAGTGCAGCCTGTACTGTAGTCCCCCTAGGCTGAGGTGGGAGGATTGCTTGAGCCCAGGAGTTCAAGGCTGCAGTGAGCTATGATCATGTCATTGCCTGGGAAACAGAGCAAGACCCTGTCACTAAAAATAAATAAATAAATAAAAGGTTTGTAAAATCTGATTGTTCCACAAGAGGAAATTGGTTAAGTAAATTTCACTTTTGTGACAAAATATTATGTCACTAAAATTAATTGTCTTCTCCAAAAATGTTACTGATATGCAGAGCAGAAAATATTCTCTTGTATGTCAAGGTTGTATAGACGACCTCACTTGGTTTGGTTTCTTCCCACAGCCTGTCCTGGGGGCACAGAGAGGCCCTGTGGTGGCTATGGGCAGTGTGAAGGGGAAGGGACACGAGGGGGCAGCGGGCAGTGTGACTGCCAAGCCGGCTACGGGGGTGAGGCCTGTGGCCAGTGTGGCCTTGGCTACTTCGAAGCAGAACGCAACGCCAGCCATCTGGTATGTTCGGGTAGGTAGCCAAAAGGTGTGGCACTGGGCAGGGGCAGATGGAGTACCTGCCTGCCCATCCTCATGCTGCCCCCATTCCACCCAGCTTGTTTTGGCCCCTGTGCCCGATGCTCAGGACCTGAGGAATCAAACTGTTTGCAATGCAAGAAGGGCTGGGCCCTGCACCACCTCAAGTGTGTAGGTAAGTGGGGCTCTAGCTAGGTCTGGGGAAGATGGACAGGGGCCTGGGCTTGGTCCTTCATTCTATCAACACAAGCCTGGGCTAAACTAGCCTAGGCCCCACCTTCATGGAGATCTCAACCTGGCTGGGAAGGCAGACAAGTAACCAGATACTTACAGTCCAGTACACAGGTACTGTGTAGTATAGTCCCTGTGTACAGTGAGAGATGCCTCTGATCTAGTTCAGTGGAAGTGGTGATGGGGAATCAGGAAAGGCTTCTTGGAGGAGGTGCTACTTTGGCCAAGTCTTAAAAATTGAGGAAGGGGCTGGGCACGGTGGTTCACGCCTGTAATCCCAGCACTTTGGGAGGCCAAAGAGGGCAGATCACGAAGTCAGGAGATCGAGACCATCCTGGCTAACGCAGTGAAACCCCATCTCTACTAAAAATACAAAAAATTAGCTACTCAGGAGGCTGAGGCAGAAGAATGGCATGAACCCGGGAGGCGGAGCTTGCAGTGAGCCAAGATCGCGCCACTGCACTCCAGCCTGAGCAACAGAGCAAAACTCCATCTCAAAAAAAAAAAAAAAATTGAGGAAGGGTTGGCCAGGAGAATGAGGACCCTGAACTTGGGGTCAGGAAACCTGGGTTCAAGACTTGGTTTGGTCCCAGCCTAGCCACTTACTTAGACTAGAGTAGAGGCTAAGCTGTTATAACAAAAATCCTCAAAAGACTGTGGCTTAAAGAATATACCGGTTGGCCAGGCATGGTGGCTCACTCACGCCTCTAATCCTAGCACTTTGGGAGGCCGAAGCGGGGTGGATCACCTGAGATCAGGAGTTCAAGACCAGCCTGGCCAACATGGCAAACTGAGTCTCTACTAAAAATACAAAAATGAGCCAGCCGTGGTGGCAGGTGCCTGTAATCGCAGCTACTCGGGAGGCAGAGGCAGGAGAATTGCTTGAACCCAGGAGGCAGAGGTTACAGTGAGCTGAGATCACACCATTGCACTCTAGCCTGGGTGACGAGCGAAACTCCATCTCAAAAAAAAAAAAAAAGAAGAATCTAGAGGGTAGAGGTTTATTTTTTTTCCTCATATTACAGTCCCAAAGTGAGTAGTCCAGGCTGGCAGGGGAGCTTTGCTAGTCACAATCATTCCAGTACCCAGATCATTCCTGTAACTTCCTGCACAATCATCCCCTTGGGCATTGTCTGCATGGTGGAAGCTGAGTCCTGGGCATCTCCGTGTCCCATGTCCCAGCACTCAGGAAGGGAGAAGGGAAAGAAAGTGCATTGAGGAGTCCAAGCATTGTTTTAAGACCAAGCTAACAGTGGAGCTCACCACTCCTGTTTACATCCTGTTGGCCACAACTCAATCACAGGGACACGCTTAGCTTCAAGGCAGATTGGAAAATGTGGTCTCTGGCTGGGCAGCCTGAAGTCCAGCTGCACGTCTGCTTCTGTGTTGGTAGACAGCTTGCAGTCCCTGCCATACCATTTAATCCCAGGCAAGACCATTCCCCAGTGGCTCTGGCCTCAGCTTCCCTACCAAATAGGGATCGAAATTCTCACCCTGCTCACCTCTCTGCAGACATTGATGAGTGTGGCACAGAGGGAGCCAACTGTGGAGCCGACCAATTCTGCGTGAATACTGAGGGCTCCTATGAGTGCCGAGGTCAGTGTCTGCTTCTGCAGTGGGGATGTGAGGAGGGCAGGAGGAGCTGCTCCACACCTGTCCCTCCAAACCTTCCCCTTCTCAGGCTTCAGAGCACCCCCAGGCCTCCTCTTCTGGAGCATGGCTCTCCTGGGCCTAGGAGCACATCTCACCCTCATCTCTCTCCTCTCTCCAGACTGTGCCAAGGCCTGCCTAGGCTGCATGGGGGCAGGGCCAGGTCGCTGTAAGAAGTGTAGCCCTGGCTACCAGCAGGTGGGCTCCAAGTGTCTCGGTGAGTCTCCTGCTGATGGGACACAGGCACCTGGGAGTGCCTCACCCAGCATGAATGGTGAAGGGGCTGGAATATGGGGAAGGAAGGGTGGAATGTTGCCTGTGCAAGGGCAGAGGGTAGTGTTGAGAGATGGACAAGATGGAGTCGGGGTGCTGGGTGGGGGGCCTTAGCAGGACTCTGACCCCTCCCTTCCCCCAAGACGTGGATGAGTGTGAGACAGAGGTGTGTCCGGGAGAGAATGAGCAGTGTGAAAACACCGAGGGCGGTTATCGCTGCATCTGTGCCGAGGGCTACAAGCAGTTGGAAGGCATCTGTGTGAAGGAGCAGATCCCAGGTGAGCCCTGGGGTGGGAGAGGGGAGGTCCTCATTCAAATAGAGGGCAGGCAAGCCCCTTCCCCAGGTAGCAGTGGCAGCTCGAGTCCTGCCCCACCCCTACTGCTACCCAGCCCCCTGGAGGCTGCACTGAGATCAGGCTGTACATCTGATCTCCAGGTTGGCTCTCAGCAGCCTTACACTTTCCAGGGTACAAAGGGAATCAGACTTGGCATCAAATCAGTCTGCCTCCCTAACCTGTTTCCTCATCTATCCAATGGGACCAGTGTTTGCCCTGGCCTGCTGAGAGCTGTCCTAGGCCGGGGGTGTGGTGAGATGCAGGGTAATCACAACAGTGATGGCAGGGACCATTTCCCCAGCAATTACTATGTGAGATGCTGTTCTAGGTGCATTCCTCATCTTAACTTATTTAACCCGTGAAACAGCCCGACGCTGGAGGTCGGGTTCTCATCCCCATTCTAACTATGTAAAAACTAAGATGCAGAGAGATGAAGCTACTTTCCCAGGGCTATATGGCAAGCAAGTTGCAGAGCTGGGATCCCAATCCAGACAGTCTGACCATGAAACGAGACTCATACATGTAATAAGTGCTCTGCCCCCAACTTGTCTACCACATGGCCTTGGCAAGTCCAACCCCTTTACCTCTCTGAGCCTCACTTTCCCATTTAGTGAGACAGGGATGGTAACTGCCTCTTGCAGCGTGGTTTTGAGCAGTAAATGTTGTGTGCCTGGCTTGCTGGGCAGGCCTGGTGGCCATGATGATCAGGTGCATGGGAGTTCTGGGGAGGCTCCAAGAACTGCCAGGAACAGGGATACGAGTGCCAGGCTGCATCTCTCGCTCCTCTGCAGAGTCGGCGGGCTTCTTCTCAGAGATGACAGAGGACGAGTTGGTGGTGCTGCAGCAGATGTTCTTTGGCGTCATCATCTGTGCACTGGCCACGCTGGCTGCTAAGGGCGACTTGGTGTTCACTGCCATTTTCATTGGGGCTGTGGCGGCCATGACTGGCTACTGGTTGTCAGAGCGCAGTGACCGTGTGCTGGAGGGCTTCATCAAGGGCAGATAATCTTGGCCACCACTTGTAGGATCTCCTCCCACCTACGCTGCCCCCAGAGCTTGGGCTGCCCTCCTGCTGGACACTCAGGACAGCTTGGTTTATTTTTGAGAGTGGGGTAAGCAACCCTACCTGCCTTACAGAGCAGCCCAGGTACCCAGGTCTGGGCAGACAAGGCCCCTAGGGTAAAAAGTAGCCCTGAAGGTGGATACCATGAGTTCTTCACCTGGCGGGGACTGGCAGGCTTCACAATTTGTGAATTTCAGAAGTTTTTCCTTAATGGTGGCTGCTAGTGAGCTTTGGCCCCTGCTCAGGATGAGGGGGTCCTCACAGTGGTGGGGCCGTCACAGCCCCCTCCTGCCAGCTGCATGCCAGCCCCCTCCTGCCAGCTCGTTCTGTGTTCACCACATCCCCACCCCCCATTGCCATTTATTTATTCATCTCAGGAAATAAAGAAAGGTCTTGGAAAGTTAAAAGGCTTCGGTCTTACTACCTGTTCCACCACCCCCCACCTTAGGGAAATTTCCTAGAATCCTGGGAAATTGAGGGCTTCCCTGATGGTGAGTGGAGAAAAGATAGAGGAGAAGGTTGCCCCTGAAGTGCTGTTAGGAGGAGGGTAGAGGAACCAGCCTTAGGATGGTTCCATGCCAGCTGTCATTTGGCAAAGGACCCTGGACAGATGACTTTTGCCTCTGAACTTCACTCTTCTCTTTCCTCAAATGGGCTTCATAATGCTTTCCACTCAGACTTGAGAATTAAATTAGGTGATAAATGTGAAGACCTGGACAGTACACAAGAGATGTTCAATAAGTGTGGTCGCCATTATGACCAGGGCCTCCAAGCCTCAAGCAACCTTTCCTCGAAGTTCTCCCCTCTGTCCAATACACAGGACTTAGAATGACTGGGAGGCAGGGCCTCCAGTCTCTCCTTCCTCCTATGAATACAGGATCCTGGCATGGCCAGTGGGAAGCATGAGCCAAGTCCTAAGGGTTTATTTCTTTGGCACAAAGAGGACAGTCTAGACAAGCGAGGCTCATCACTCCATGTTGGGGAGTCTGGGGCACCTGCTCCCTGTTCTTCATGCCCAAATCCATGCATACCCACCCTGTATTCCGCATAAGACACGGCCTCTGTGCAAAATACCGGCTGAAAACCAGAAATATTAAAAGCAAAAAACAGGGCATGGGGGTGGGGTGAGTTCAAACCTGGCTGTCCCCCGGGGGCTGTCGTCAGGTGGAGGCCTGGGGATGTCTTTTTTTTTTTTTTTTTTTTTTTTTTGAGACGGAGTCTCACTCTGTCACCCAGGCTGGAGTGCAGTGGCCGGATCTCAGCTCACTGCAACCTCCGTCTTCCCGTTCAAGCAGTTCTCCCGCCTCAGCCTCCCGAGTAGCTGGGACTACAGGCGTGTGCCACCTGGCTATTTTTTTGTATTTTTAGTAGAGACGAGGGTTTCACTATGTTCGAGACTAAGAGGCTGGGCTCCAACTCGTGACCTCGTGATCCGCCCACCTTGGCCTCCCAAAGTGCTGGGATTACAGGCGTGAGCCACCGCGCCCGGCCAGGATACCCATTTTTTAAAGGCTCAACTGTCCCAGTCGGCCATGCCATGTGGGCATCGGCCAGGGTCCTAGCCCTGCGTCAGGACCGCTCCTCAAAGCTCGATGGTATCACTGGAGGCGCTGCGGGATTCCCCAGGCTTGCCGCGCGGCTGGACCTCTCCCTGGCCGTTCCCCGGCCGAGCAGCGGTAGAGTCAGGGGCTGGGGTCGGGGCAGGCAGTAGCTGTACTGTGCTGGGCAACTCATCTAGGGGCAGACTGTCCACTGATGACAGCCCGTGGCGCCAGGGGTTCCAACTGATCTTGAGTGAGCCCCTGGAGAAGCTGTCCAGGGAGCTGCCAGAAGCCACCGCCGCTGCCCCGTCGGGCTCTTCCACTACGTGTTGTGGGACCGGCCCGCGCACGCGCACGTCGCTGAGCGACCTGCAGCGGCCGCGGAGGAGCGAGGAGCCAGCGTCGTCGAGCTCGGCTTTGGGATGGCTGCCCCGACGCGGCCGCAGAGCGCCTCCAGGCGGCGGGGAGGCCACGCCGCGGAGGCCGCAGCGCTTGAACACACTGTCTCGCACCAGGTGCTCGCGGAAGAGCGCGGCGTCGATGCTACGGCTCAGGTTGATGGGCGATGGCGGCCGCAGATCCAGCTCGCTCAGCGATGGCGCCGGTCCCACACCGTTGCGGGACATTCCTGGGGCACCCTGGGGTCCGCGACCCAGCGACGCAGCCGAGCCCCAGGCGCCTGAACTGGGCGTGGCCAGCTGCCCACTCTCCGCCGGGTTGCGGATGAGGCTCTTGCTGATGTCCAAGCTGCCTGCACCAACGCTGCTGGGCCGCGCATAGCAGTTATTGGGTCGCTCCGGCACCTCGCTCTTGCCCGACGGCGCCGGGCACGCCAGACGCATCAGCTTAGCCCAGCAAGCGTGCTCCGTGGGCGGCCTGGGTCTCGCGGCAGCCACCGCGGCCAGCGCCAGGGCGAGCGCCCATGTCAGCTCCAGGAGGCGCAGCCAGAAGTGGACACCCCACCAGGCCCACGAGAAGCGGCCCACGCGACCTGGGCCCGGGTATAGCCAGAGCGCAGCCGCCAGCTGCAAGCCGCTGGCCAGCAGCCCCAGCGCGCCCGCCACGGCCAACAGCCGAGGGCCCGGGCTGGCATCCCAGCCCCGTGGGCCGTCCAGCAGGCGGCGACGGCACAGGCAGAGCGTGCCTAGAGCCACGGCCGCGCCCCAGGCGCACGACAAGCCTTGCATAAGGAGGTTGAGCACAGACCATGTGGACAGCAGGTCTGTCGCGAGCAACCCCACACCATGCACCAACGCCACTGCTCCCAGCAGGAGTGGGTTTTGCAGCGGTGGCGGCAGCCCCGCGCCCAGGCCGAGCAGAGTCAGGGCCGCCAGCGCCGTGAGCAGCAAGGGGAAGGGCAGGTTGTAGAGCACCAAGCCCCCGCGAACGCCCAGCCGCGCCTGCGAGCCATAAGGGTCGGTAAGCATGTAGGCGGATCGCAGCCCCGAAGCCACGAGCACCAGCACCGCGGCCACCAATGCCAGCCGGGGCCCTGCTGGGGCGGCTGCCAGCGCAGCCAGAGCCAACAACGCGGGCAGCAGAAAGAGCACCCCCACCCCGTAGACGTGCAGCTCCCAGGAGAAGCTCAGGACCCGCCGCAGGGGGCCCCAGCGTAGCGGGGGTGCAGTGGCATTGGCTGGGGGGCTGGAGGCTGGGGCTGAAGCCATGGAGCTGGCTGAGGGCTCCGGAGGGGGAGGCTGGCCCAGGGCTCGCTGTGTGGTGACTCGAATGAGGCCCCGGCGTGACGTCGAGGGGGCCTGGACTGGGGGTGCTGGGGGATGGCTTTGGGGGCGCCCCGGCCACTCCTCGGCGTCATCTGCAATGATAACAATATTAAAATCGCCTTTTGAAAAGTGCTTTTGATCTTCTATCACCCTCTAGTGTGGTTGGCAAGTCATTTAACTTTTCCAAGCAAATCTGCAAAATGGAGATAACAGCACCTGCCTCATTGGGTTGTGAAGAAGATGGAATGTTTAGCATGGTGCCCAACACCCAGTAAGTGCTAAATGGATGTCACCTATCGTTTTTATTTAAGGGTACTATCAGGGAGGTAGTACCCCAGCAGTTCAACACATGGGCTGCATAATAGAATCGTCTGGAGGCCAAGGAATAAGAATTTCTTGGAACGTGGCTTGGGCATTGAAATTTCTTTCTTTCTTTTTTTTTTTTTTGAGACAGGTTCTCACTCTGTCATCCAGGCTGGTGTGCGGTGGTGCAATGAGGGCTCACTGTAGCCTTGACCTCCAGGTCAAGGGATTTCCCACCTCAACCTCCAGAATAGCTGGGACTATAGGCATGCACAACCACACCCAGCTAATTTTTGTATTTTTGTTGTTGTTGTTGTTCTAAAACATATCCATGTTACATGTTAGAACATTCTAGCCCCAAAAGGGCAAATGACTTCTCCCAGATTTCCCAGTGAGTATGAATTTATTATCCTAGGCTGTTTGAAGGAGGCCCTGGGCAACTCCTTTAAGCAGGTGATTGTCTCCATTCATTCCCTGCCCTCCACCCCTCACACACCCCCAACAGAGGTTCTCAGTTACTAGACAGAGCACTCCCTCTCCCCACACCCCAGCCATGCCCTCACCTGGCTGCAGGGCCCCCATGGGGCTCTCTGTTCGGTTTGCAGCTGGGCTAGGGTCTGAGGGACCAGGGATGAGGGGCTTGGGGGTGCCTGGGGCCTCCACGGCTCCTCTCACCCGCTGGGGGGAGATGGGGTCTGCTCCATTCATTGCTGCTATCTCTGAAATGACAAAGTAGTCATCTGACTATAACTAAACAGTAGTTACCTGACCCTCCTATGGTGCTCCTAATCCCTCAGGATTGAGTCACAATCACCTTCATTTGCCACAGGGAGGAAAATGAGACCTAGAGGGACCCAGGGTCAAACAGAATTGAGGCATCCAGCTGCCCCGGAACATCACTCAACATGCTCCTGATACCAACCTGGCTTGGACGGCCCATCAGGAGCCTCTGAGGCAGGCGGATCCATGGGCTGGGGTCCTGGTGAATCCTTAGCGTCAGGGAGGTCAACCTGCTTGGGCAGCGGACTTGAGGAGCTGACTTCCCAAGACACCTCAGCTCCAGCCCTCTTGGGGGTCTCAACTGGCAGCTCCTCAGCAGGAGGAAGGCTTCTGGCCAATGCCAAGTCTGGCTGGGCCCCTGGCTCCTGAGAGTACACCACCTCAACTGGGGGAACTGAGCCAACATCAGAGGCTGCTGGATCCTGCTGGGTGAAGAGGGGGCCTTGAGCTGCCTCCTGGAAGTGTTCCTCAAACCCACCCTGTCCTTCCAGGACTGGCCTCTTGACAGTACCTGAGTGGGGAACAAGGGTGTGGGGTGGGCCCTGGTAGTCTGAGGGAGAAGTGGGTGGGACCCTGCTCTTAGTTTTGGCCTTCAGACCCTCATCTCTAGGTGGCTGCTGTCCCTGTTGGCCTCCATGCTGCAGGGAGGGAGGAACTGTGGCTACCCTGAGTTGAAGTCTGGGAGTTGTAGGGATGAAAGTGAGATGAGGGTGGCCCACTGGGTGCGGAGCCACTGCTTCTTGCTCCAGAAGCTCTTGTGAATCCAGAGGTCCTGTCCAGCCGTGGGAGCTTTGTCCTCGAGCCATCTGGAGGTCATCAGTTACTGGGGGTCGTTCTCTCTGAGCCCCTTGGGCTGCTTTGGGCCCGTACAGGGCTGGGCCAAGGGGAGAGGCTACAGGCTTCTCAGGCATCTCGTCAGCAGGGGCGTGGCGGACATCAGAGTTCCTGTGACTCTCAGCTCTGGGGTTGTCCAGGAAGATGTCAAAGGAGTGGGGCTCTGAGCCCAAAGAGCCCTTAGGGTGGGCTCCAGGAATCATAGGGGTTTTGGAGTTTTCAAGT